CAGGGCTCAGTAAAGGGAAAAAGGAAAAGAGGCAGACCAGGTAATGAAAGGCCTGGTTACAAAACCTGACTGACTGGACAGCCCTCGGTCATACAACCATGAAGTCCATCGCATCTGACCGCCAAATGTGAAGAGAGCTAATCAGACAGTCAACAGAAACTGGTGACCTAACGACAAGCAGTGTTACGGGATGATGATGATACTGAAATTATTTAAATCTATTCTAAAAATGATTCTAACAAGTGGTTTCTTCAGAGAGCAACACGTAGACAACTTTACAGAAGAAACGAAAACGGAAGAAGATATCACAGTTATTCCAGACAACAGTCATTGAGTCGATGACATCATTCATGCTGACCGTTAGGTAACTCTAGAGGAATGTTGGCCTGGACACTACCTTTACTAATGGACAGTATGGTATACAGTATGCTGCCATTCACGTCTGATACCGGTGTTTCTTATGCTGCCATTCACGTCTGATAGCAGCAATTTCTTATGCTGCGTCACGTCTGATACCGGCGTTTCTTATGCTGCCATTCACGTCTGATACCGGTGTTTCTTATGCTGCCATTCACGTCTGATAGCAGCAATTTCTTATGCTGCGTCACGTCTGATACCGGCGTTTCTTATGCTGCCATTCACTTCTGATACCAGCGTTTCTTATGCTGCCATTGTTAACGACGGTCAACACAAATTGTGACATCAACTGGATAAATGTTGTATGTCTGCGTGTGTATTCCGGGGCCCTATTGTGGGAAAAACAAGAATAGGCCCAAAAGCATGTCGTAAGAGTCGACTAACTGGCAGCTTTCTTCGAAGTCAGAGTACATCTGGAGAGGCAAGGAACCTACAGTCTGCATGCAAATTAGTAGACCTGTGAAACGGATGTCCAGGCAACACTCAATTTCTGGAACAGGACCAGATTCTAAAAGTGGACGAATGACCAGACCTTTCCGCCGGAGTTTACAGCTGGTGAACGTGAAGAAAACAACAAGAAATGTTAGAAATATCTATTGTAGACGGACGGCCAGTCCATTTAAGTACTTTACGTCAACTTTTGAAGACTGACCACTTCAGCTTGAACACAACGATGTACACAGCGTCAGACAGTGCTAAGATCCACTGTCGAATCTCCATAAATAGTCTTCAAACGTTCACGGATACGAATTGGGATCACGCCTTCAGCTTTGAATAATTCTATGACATTACTTTGCTTTAACCGAAAGTCTCTGGTAGCCATTAAAAACAGTTTCTGTGGTGCCAATTGTTTCTGAAACAGGGTAGTAACGCTATACAGTGCAGAAGAACGTCTGAAAAAAACTTGCTAAAATTACAAACTGCATACGGAAATAGTACTTACATAGAAAAAAAAATAGGAGGCCTTACTTTTTTACCGTCACTCATACATCTACCGGTAAAAATGTAATAAATATGATAATACGCGCATATAATTATAGATTAGGAACACATTCTGACCAAAACTTCTCTCCATACTTTCTGTTTAACTTGTGGAATATATTGACCTCTTTTTAGTTACATTGTGTTATGTTGGGGAAGGTGTGTCTTGTCCATTTACTCAAGGGAGGGACGATATAAACACAAAATTTGGAGACCACTGATTTCACCAAAGTCTATGTGCTGGTCTTTCTTGGTCTGCTTTTTCTCCTCTATCAAGCCCTACAGAATCGTTTTGGACTGCATATGTTTGAGACAATACAACAATTAGGTAAAATCTGTGAAACGGATGTGCGCGCAAAGGTCAAGTTGTGGAAGAAGATGTGGACGTAAAACCAGAAAATTCCGCTGGGGTTTACAGCTGGTGATTGGGAAAAAAATATTGTAAAAAAATATATTGATTTCATATATATAATTTCTAATAGGTCAGTTGCAATCGCAACGACATACTCTGATTTTATTTATATTGTCTGATAATGTCATTTTCAATCAATGGTTGACATAATCGGTGCATATAGCTTTATCATGGGTGTTTGTGCTCTGACATCAGCTTGTGTTCCGACATCAGTTTGTTTCTATCCACAACCGGCTCCATCAGTCAGCCGTTGTTTCTTTCCTCATGACTCATGTAAGTCACTGGTATTTTCAAACACTCTTCATCAAGATGTTCCCCGATGTTCTCTGTCTACTCTGAATGTTGCATATGTGGACAGTTTGTAACCTTGTAGTGGAAAAACTGTGCCTTCTTGTTTCATCTGTACTAAGAATCCAGGTTTTTTGTTTCACTGCCGTGGGACACGTTTGTTATTAACTTTAGCTGATGGAAAATTTGGGATGACGTGGTGAAGCGGATATTCCCGAAAACTCTTTACTACGCTAGTATTTTCCACCTCCGACTTTAGCTATTTATAGTATTATTACATTGTCAATAGAATCAAAGGAAATGTGTCAGCTGATAGGCAACCGGTTTCGCGTATATAAAAGCTTTAGAAGAAAACGACTTTACATCACTACATTTGGAGCAGCAGTTTATTATTTCAACATGAGAAATCAGAAGATTAGCACCGCTTTATTGCTACGCCCGGGAAAAGAAGGTAAATATTATATGCCGTACTCGTGAATTCTACTACCTAGTTTTTCTATAATCTTAGCTCACCGAGTTATACAGTTTAAAGAAAAAGAACAGGACCAATTTTCACGCCTTTTAGGCGTATTAGACACACTTAGTGGATGATGTAGTCAACATCACGTCGGCCGCTTTACTTCCCAGGACTGCATCTAGTACTCATTCAAGGCTGGGTCGACCTGAAAGCCAAGGCTATCTATGAAAAAAATTCCGGCTCTGCCAGGACCCGATTCCACGGAGCGTCTAGCCGCAACACCACGGCGACTCCCTAACTTAGTTTATGTTAACAGCACTCCGGAAGCATCAATAGGTGCTCGGATTCACCCTTCAACATATTCTTCAATGTCGCGTGATTAACTATTCCAGTCCTGTGCCGGTTGACAAGACTGAGTCCGGTGTGCCTCTCATGCTTGGCTGTGCCGATCTTTACTCCCAGTTTTCGTATTCTAAGCTTAACTCATTGCTTCCAAAGCTACCACGTGTGTCACTTGTGATACATGTCCTTATACTCTTGTTTCAAATGCTTCCAGTCACGTCTGATACCGGTGTTTCTTATGCTGCCAGTCACGTCTGATACCGTTGTTTCTTATGCTGCCAGTCACGTCTGATACCGTTGTTTCTTATGCTGCCATTCACGTCTGATACCGGTGTTTCTTATGCTGCCAGTCACGCCTGATACCGTTGTTTCTTATGCTGCCATTCACGTCTGATACAGTTGTTTCTTATGCTGCCATTCACGTCTGATGCCGTTGTTTCTTATGCTGCCATTCACGTCTGATACCGGCGTTTCTTATGCTGCCATTCACGTCTGATACCAGTGTTTCTTATGCTGCCAGTCACGTCTGATACCGGTGTTTCTTATGCTGCCAGTCACGTCTGATGCCGGTGTTTTCATGCTGCCATTCACGTCTGATACTGGCGTTTCTTATGCTGCCAGTCACGTCTGATACCGGCATTTCTTATGCTGCCATTCACTTCTGATACCGGCGTTTCTTATGCTGCCATTCACTTCTGATACCGGTGTTTCTTATGCTGCCATTCACTTCTGATACCGGCGTTTATTATGCTGCCATTCACGTCTGATACCGGTGTTTCTTATGCTGCCAGTCACGTCTGATACCGGTGTTTCTTATGCTGCCAGTCACGTCTGATGCCGTTGTTTATTATGCTGCCATTCACGTCTGATACCGGTGTTTCTTATGCTGCCAGTCACGTCTGATACCGGTGTTTCTTATGCTGCCAGTCACGTCTGATACCGTTGTTTCTTATGCTGCCATTCACGTCTGATACCGGTGTTTCTTATGCTGCCAGTCACGCCTGATACCGTTGTTTCTTATGCTGCCATTCACGTCTGATACCGTTGTTTCTTATGCTGCCATTCACGTCTGATACCGGCGTTTCTTATGCTGCCATTCACGTCTGATACCAGTGTTTCTTATGCTGCCAGTCACGTCTGATACCGGTGTTTCTTATGCTGCCAGTCACGTCTGATGCCGGTGTTTTCATGCTGCCATTCACGTCTGATGCCGGTGTTTTCATGCTGCCATTCACGTCTGATACTGGCGTTTCTTATGCTGCCAGTCACGTCTGATACCGGCATTTCTTATGCTGCCATTCACGTCTGATACCGGTGTTTCTTATGCTGCCAGTCACGTCTGATGCCGTTGTTTATTATGCTGCCATTCACGTCTGATACCGGTGTTTCTTATGCTGCCAGTCACGTCTGATACCGGTGTTTCTTATGCTGCCAGTCACGTCTGATACCGTTGTTTCTTATGCTGCCATTCACGTCTGATACAGGTGTTTCTTATGCTGCCAGTCACGCCTGATACCGTTGTTTCTTATGCTGCCATTCACGTCTGATACCGTTGTTTCTTATGCTGCCATTCACGTCTGATACCGGCGTTTCTTATGCTGCCATTCACGTCTGATACCAGTGTTTCTTATGCTGCCAGTCACGTCTGATACCGGTGTTTCTTATGCTGCCAGTCACGTCTGATGCCGGTGTTTTCATGCTGCCATTCACGTCTGATGCCGGTGTTTTCATGCTGCCATTCACGTCTGATACTGACGTTTCTTATGCTGCCAGTCACGTCTGATACCGGCATTTCTTATGCTGCCATTCACTTCTGATACCGGCGTTTCTTATGCTGCCATTCACTTCTGATACCGGTGTTTCTTATGCTGCCATTCACTTCTGATACCGGCGTTTATTATGCTGCCATTCACGTCTGATACCGGTGTTTCTTATGCTGCCAGTCACGTCTGATACCGGTGTTTCTTATGCTGCCAGTCACGTCTGATGCCGGTGTTTCTTATGCTGCCATTCACGCCTGATACCAGTGTTTCTTATGCTGCCAGTCACGTCTGATACCGGCGTTTCTTATGCTGCCATTCACTTCTGATACCGGCGTTTCAAATGCTGCCAGTCACGGAAAAGTCAACTATTCTCTTGGAGTTCCCCCCCCCCCCGGAGTGTTCAGTTATGGGCTGGGGTTAAGGTTAGGTTTAGTCAGTGTCTATGAGGCGGTCAGGGCTGACAAAGATCCTAACCCCAAACCCATAAAACCCTAGACCAGCGGTTCTTAAACTGAATGCCGCGGCAAAAATCAAGAATTTTTCAAAATTTGCTCAAGACTAGTGAAGGCAGCAGTTTAAAACAGAAAAACCAGGAAGGAAGCCAAGAAGAGTTTTGGAAGCAGGTGTATTCAGAAAACAATGCTATTGGCAAGACTGTAGCATATTCTCAAAGTACGCTTACATTAAAAAACAGATGCAGGAGCAGCCTTCAAGTGATCTGAGGGTACAATTAACTAAACTTCATATAAACAAAAAGAAAATAATGAAACATTCATCCAAAAAGTTTCATTTATCGCATTAAAGACAAATGAACATTAAATTTGCAGTTTTTTCTTTTTCGTAAGTATTAACCGCTTTAAGGGTAGGTGTGCCGCGAAAATTGTTTACCACCCCCCCCCCCTCTCCCAAAAGGGTGCTGCAGTGAAACAAGTTTGAGAAACGCTGCACTAGACTGTTGGTCTTTGTGGGGAACTCTCATATTTCCTTTTTTGGGGGGAAAGAATCAAATATAAGATATCAGACCAACTTAAACTGGCGGTTAGAGCCTTAAAGAAATAACATAACAGTAAAGTGCAGCACACATGTTTTACCTACACAAAGCAAACCTTTCCTTTACAAAACGGCAAAATTAGTTTCCAGTCGTCTTCTTAGCATTCACCCTCTGTAAATTCTGGAGGAAAGTTCTAGCAACTGTTTGTCTATTTCTGGACTTTGGTCTTGTTCCAGAACTTGAGTTTTGAGTGCACATCCGATTTACAGATTTGGTTAATTTTAATGTAGGCTGCTGGTTTCTCAAATCCAATTTTGCAGAAAACACCTCTAATTACTGGTCTCTTATGACATGTTTTTTGGGGGGGGGGGGGGGGGGGGGGGGGGGGGGGTGGGGAGTGTTGGACTGTTCTTAATTCCTAAATAGTTTTAGTACCCACTGGCCTGGGTTGACCTGAAAGTCCTAGATCAGGGCTATTCAACTGGTGGCCCGCGGACTAAATCTGGCCTGTGGAGGCCGAGTAAGTAGCCTGTGTATTTTTGCCAGTTGCACTGTATTAATGATCTGTTTCTGCTGGAGGTCAGGTCAGTGGCAATCCCCATATTCAAAATTTGGGCTCCTGGGTAAACTTAGTGAGATAGCCTTGTCCTAGGTCAATTATTACAATTCGCCTCAGTTTAAAAAAAAAAAAAAGCAGACCACAGGGTCAACAGGCAAGCATATTGCCACTGTGCTACAACAGTTTCCAATTATTTACTACTCATGGTATGGTTGGGTACAATAATGGAGTCTTCTGCGCGAGACTCATGTTCATATGTTTAGTAAAGTGATAGAAGACGTCTTTTTCTGTCGGAGGCAAAATTAAACATCCTGACCTGCAGTTTGTGGTGACTGCAATGGCAATATGGCCATAAATCCTTGAGGTCAAGAACCCATTTTGCCCTAAACAGTAAGTACAGGCAGTTAAGACATTTGTTATTTCAATAATTCTTGGCTTTCTCATTTTAAATAGTTTTATCAAGTCATCAAAAATACATAACATAGCGGCCTAAATTTATTTTAACCCCTAGTCGAATGAAGAAAATACCTTAGACAGATAAAAACAGCAATGAAGATGTCTTGAAAGAAACTGACTCACAAAGAGAAATGTTTTCCCACACCTAAAGGAGACAATCTACATTCTTTGGACATGTGATGAGAAGGAGAAAACTGGACACTTGGAGGGGAGGACAGGCAGAGGAAGACTGAGAGAAAATGCAAGACAGTTTGACATCATGGCATGGAGGAACATCTGTGTTAGAGGTGACTGAAAGAACACAAGACTGAAAGTTGTGGATAGACAGGAGTACCAATGGAACATGCCATAGACTCTAAGCAGGAGAAGTTCTGCAAGCTCAGTCTAAAACAGGCACCATAATGTTTCAAAACAAAATGCTATTATTATTTTGATTCCATTCAATTCTGCTGACTGTTTTAACAGAATACAAATACATGGTTATGTGAAACATAAAAATAAAAATACATGTTCATGTTTCCACTAATGTGTCACTTATATTTCAGAAATATTAAAGAAAAGCCCTAACAAAACCATGCGGTCACCAATGCCTCTCCAAATGCAATCTTCCAATAGTTTTGGCTACGCAGACTGGAAGACAATTTCTAAACTTCTGACACTGTCTGTAAATGCAGAAAATAAACAGACCAACGACATGAGTAACAGAAAACAGAATACAGAAATAATGCTGAAGAAACTTTCACCATCTAAAGAGCATGACAATGTGACATCAGAGCTGAACACAGCATTCTGTTTTCCAAGAAAGGCTGGAGGAAATGCCCTTGGGTCAGCTACTACAGAAAAAAGCAGTTTTATTACTGTATCAAAGCTTAATACAGAAGCTGGAGGTGGTTCAGTAGATGTTCATCAGTCAACTGGTACGGAAACAAGCAGGTCTGATTCTGTATCATCACAAGCTAGTATGCAGACTTTACCCCTGGATGGTCATAACCAGAGTATACCTGAATCATCACAAGCAATAGCAACAACAGGCAGTACATCCTTTGGTGACCCAACACCCATGACCTCTCTCAACACTGCAGCAGGACTACAAATGTCTGGTCAGAATGACAACAGAAGCACAGGTGCAAGACCAAAACTTACAGCTTCAAGAAAATCAAAGAAAAACAGTCAGTCAAAGAACAAGCATAAATCTGTAACATGGTCAGCAGAAAAGAAACACATAATTACTGTTACTGATGTCGCATATGAACATTACAGAAACTGTATCTTAAATCTTCCTCTTCCAAATAATTCCAGGGCACAGTCTGCTGCTGTTGAAGCAGTAATGTTTATGTGTGGGAGAGATGAACCCATTTCCCTTAGTCTGATTAACATTGCTTTGAAATTTCTTTGGGTGAAACTTGGCTTCTGCCCAAAAGCTGTCCCACTGTATACTACGATTTGTGAATTCAAGTATGACGAAAGGTCTTTTGTTTTAGCTTTTCTTGAGCTATGTCAGAAAGAACCCAGTATGACTGTGGCAAATGCATTGTTTGGCGACATAGAAATATTATTGTCAGGACTTGCAAATACAAACCAAGCTTCCCAGAATGAAACTGATGAAACTGAAAACATTCCTCTGCAAACATCCAACAGCACACCAGAACACAATAATGTCAGTCATAGTTTAACAGATGGCAAATCTATGATAAACTCAGGACAGCAGAGTGCTCAAGCTGTTATAGATGAACCACTTAAAGCTTCAGAGTTCCACATTCCAGAAACAACAGTTTCTCATTCCCAGGAAAATGTGCAGCATCCATGTGAGGAAAATCATTCATTTTCTCATATCCATCCTCCAGTCTCTCATGTTCATCATCCAGTAACTCATATCCATCATCCAGACTCTCATATCCCCCATCCAGTCCCTCATATGAGTCATTCAGATTCCATAACTAACAGTGAAACTTCCAGAACACAACAACAACAAAGGCTGCCTGTGTCTAAGGAACAAATGCGACATCTACGAATTGAAGTCCTGAAGAGGGAACAAGAGCGTCTTAGAAACACTTTGACATGTGTGTTATGTAAAAGCAAGCCGGTAGAAATCACACTTTTGCCCTGTGGTCATTTTGTACTGTGTGCTGCATGTTCTGATGAATGCAACATCTGTCCAGTGTGCAATAAAGAGGCCTTAGCTGAAGTGAAAACCTTTCTCTGCTAATCACATAAAGGTTTAAATATAAGGGCCAAAAAAAAAAAAAAGTTTCTAGTTTTAGTATGGTGTATGTGAAGATCCCTCAGCACGTGGAAATCTTGAAACGCCTCTTGGAGAATTTTAACATCAGTATCATGCTATGCTGATTTCCTTTACTTCCCAGAACATTTTCTAGTATATATTTTTAGGATAAATCAGAGCCCCCACCCCCCTCCCCCAAATCACTGCTTTGAAAGTAAAAAAAGGACCATTTTCCACGCCTTTAGGCATATAGGGCTAGACCTATATTTGTTATAAACCAATCGTCACAAGATAGTTGATGTGGTCAGCATCATGCCGGCCACCTTTACTTCCCAGGACTGAACCCGGTACCCACTCAAGGCTGGGTCAACCTGGGAGCCAAGGTCATTTTTTAGAAAAGTCCGGCTCCGCCAGGTAGCGAACCCACGACCTTCTGATCCGCGGGGAGCATCTAGCCGCTCGGCCACGGAGACTCCCGCTGCTTTGAGGGTACAAATAAATTACCCATAAGGCCAGCAGGCAATCATTCTAGTCACTGTGAAAATAAGCTAAGTGTTATAAAACTGTTTCAAGAAGATCATGCTTCTCCCTGAAGCGGCAACAGAAAATTATTTAGCTGTATGAAAAAATACTTCATTTTGACTTATCTTGAATAAGTATTCACATATGTATCTTTGGCATTTTGTAAAGTAACAATTAACAGTGATAGAAAAGCACTTGAGTAAAATTCACTAAAAGTGCACTCAGATGACATTGAAATTGTGTATCCAGTTAAGCATACAAGGAAAACTATACTGTATGGTGGAGTAATATGTTTTAAAAAATATGATATTATATACGTGATATTTTAATTCAAACTTTAACATCAAGGCACTGCTGCACTTTTGACCTACTGGCTCAAATATTGTGTTTTTATGCACACTTTGGCATGTTAACTATTTTGTATGGTGGAGTAATATGTTTAAAAATCTGAGAGCAAACATATGGACTAACTAGTGTGATATAATTCAGAATTTTAACATCAAGGCCCTGTTGCACTTTTGACATACTGGCTCAAGTATCATGTTTTTATGCACACTTTGGCATGTTAACTAAAAAAAAGTATAACAAAAACTGTAAAACTGAGCATGAAAGCAAGAAATAAATTAAGATCAAGTTACATGGAAGCAATTTATTATCGAGGTGCCTTCTAAATGTGCTGACTTGGCAACCTTTAAACCTCATTTAAAAGTCAATTACTTTTAGACTTCAATAAATGCTATTACAATTAGTTACAATTACTAATTTCTGATGAATCTGACGTAAAAATAAATTACTGGAAGTTGACAATATGACATAGCAGACAAACAATGTATTTTTTGTTAAAACTTGAAAATATTGTGATAATTTGTTCCACTTATCTATTCCATATTAAGTTTGCCAGTGAGATGAGTGTTTTGACAACACTAACTGAAGTTACCTTTGAAATAAATTCACAGCCAGGTTGTGACCCCATAGAAATGTCAGGTTTTTGGAAGATCATAGATGAGTTCAGTGTCTCTCTGGCTGAACCATGAAATTCTTGAGCACCAGTGCTGTGTAGAATTGTTTCAAGGTTATCAATTTGAATTCCTCCACCTGTTCAAAAAGATACAAATAGTAGTCCATTAACATTGAATCTATCCACAAATATAACAGTATTATGTAAATAAATTACAGTATATGTATCATTTTAATTTTGAAAGGACATGAGAATTTAACTATTTTTGCGAGCAGAGTAATATAAGCAGAAGAAGAAGAAAAAGAAGGAGAAGAAGGAGAAGAAGAAGAAGAAGAAGAAGAAAAAGAGAAGAAGAAGAGATATGAAAGTATAAAATTGCTTTTAAAAAAAGTAAACAACAAAACTGCACTATGTTCAGACATAATTTGTAAGAAAATATGAATTAAAAAACATAAATATATTGCAGATGTTGATATTTCATAACAGTTCAATAAGAATCATCAAGTGCCATTGTAGGTGTGAAAGTTGACTGCACTGTATCTCCGACAGTTTCTATCCTGAACCATCATTGCCCATCACGCTTGACTGCTTCTTGCCCATTTTTGGTTATTATCCCAAATTTTATGTTTTGATGCCTTCTAACTCTACTGCTCCTAACCTTTCCTCGAGTACGGCTTCAATAGATTATTTTGCAATGTGATGTAACCAAATTACTCTGTCTTTTTTTTCCTTATATGTCTTTTAGCATCATTTAAAAACATTATATTCTAGAACTTCCATATTTGTTTTTCTTCTAGCCAAGAAATTTGACCCTGTATTTTGTATTTCAAAAATCACAATTTCATTTTCCATTTGTGTAGTTCTTTTCCTTTTGTATTTCCTCCATAAAATTCATATTATGGATATCAGCTGAGTGTCTATTGTGTTGAAACATAAGCGAATTATCACATCACTAATCGAATGTTGATTGGTCTATAAAAATATGTCTAGCATCAGATGCCTGCTGCAGAAAAACGCATGAAGAGGAGACTTTGCTTGTCTATTTAAGTTGGTACAGAAACAGTTTTGCAAGACAACTTTACCTTATTACTGATTTATTACCACATTAATCTACTGTATATGAAATTATATATATATATATATATATATATATATATATATATATATATATATATATATATATATATATATATATATATATATATACACACACATAGTGTGTGTGTGTGTGTGTGTTTGTGATGAGCTTCAATTTATATGTCCATGGTTGCAAAAAGCATTTGATGAATCTCAGTGTAACTTTCTATATTTGTTTGGAGAGAGGTACAATTTTCACAATGTTGAATGCGGTCAACTGTTATAATAAAGTATTTTTTCAAATGATAAATTCTGCTTCTTTTGTGTTTGTCCTTCAAAGGGTGGTTGGCATGTTCTGCTGTTAACAGCTAAGTTGCAATATCTGTGCCAGAAAAATTAGTCGCCTTTTAGGATATCACTGTGACATCACTGCCATTTTGAAATTACAAAAAGCTTACAAAAATGCTTGGGCTGATTCTGCAACATCCTGTAAAGGCTACACAACAAAAAATTGTTTTCAATAAACGACATGCTTTTTTTGGGGTTGGCAGGGGAGGGGACACGAATGGGGTGGTCTATTCTCTCTCTCTCTCTCTCTCTCTCACACACACATGGGGAGTCTAGTGGCTAGACGCTCGCCTGCAGATCGGAAGGTGGTGGGTTTGGTTCCATACTTTTTTCAGAAATGACTTTGGCTCCCAGGTTGACCCAACCTTGAGAAGGTCCCAGATGCAGTCCTGAGAAGAAAAGGCGGCAGGCATGATGCTGACTACATCACTCATCAATTGCTGTTTCCTCTATTAAATATAAGTCTAGCCTTATATACCCAAATGCCAGAAAGGCGTGTAAAAAGGACCTTTACTTTTTTTTAAAAACTCTTTCTCACACTGGGGTCCCAGAACCCAAATAGGGACATAAATTTACCATGTGTTATTCTGATTTTGGAAAATATGTGAAACTTAATAAGTGAAATATACAGTCCTTACCTGGCATAACAGTGATTAAGCCATCAGCCTGCAGAATGTAAATTAAAGACACTGACAATAAATCTGCTGCACAATCCTTAATTTCATTTTAGCGATAATACCCCACGAAGGGGTAGCTGTAGTAATGTAGTAGCCTGATCTGATTACAGATCTGGCTTACTTGTATGCAGGCTGTTGGTTCCTTGCCTCTCATGCAGACGCGCAATGACTTTGGAGGGAAAATCCCTACTTACTCGCCTTTTATAACACGCTTGTTAGGCAGAGAGTATGTGAGAGTATGTCTACCCCCCCCCCCCCCTTTTTTTTTCCACCCCACCCCCAAACCAGGCCCCATAATCCACAAGGAGAAAATAGAATCTGAAACCCAGTAAAGATTAAAGAACATTAAAAAAAATTCACTTTCATTATTTGACAGAAATGAGCCATGGTAGCTGTGGCTAGACACTGGACAACTGGCCCGAGGGTCTCGTGTTCAAATCTGCATTATGACAATTTTGTCAAAATTGATCCTGGCTTTCAGATCGTCAAAGCCTAAAGTGGCTATTAGGTAATATCCTCTGAAGTAAAGGTGGTCGGTGTGATGTTGACCAAATCACCCAATGAAAGCCTCTTGGTCCATAAATTTACAAGTCTAGCATCATACCTGTGATGCACTACATGTGTGAAAAGGGTTCTTTATGTCCTTGTACTTATTTAAGAGAAGTAACCAATGCTTTCTTCTAATGGTAAGCAACAGCACACAGTATCAGTACCTTTTTGTTTCCTTTTCAGAGACCAAAAAAATCCTGGGAAGTATCTTTCAGCAATCAAGTTACAATAACAGCCCTGTTAAGGACATCTTTTTTTACTTACTTCTTTGTTCTCTGGCTGAAAGCTCCTGCGGAAAGTCCAGGTTGATTGTCCCTTTAGACTCTGCCTTTGTGCCAGGGCCTACGTTTTTAGTGTACATCCGTTTTATTGGCTTATTTGTGTGCAGCTGGCTGTTTCTTGCCGCTCTAGCAAATGCGCTCCAACTTTAAAGGAAACTCCCAATTAATTAACTCCTACGACATGCTTGTTGGGGAGACAGTAGGGTCTATTCTTGTTTTTCTCACAATGAGTCCCTGGAGCCCATACAGGAATATTAAGGACATAAGATGTGACAGTACTTTCATGCAGGATGACAAGAAATTGATAGATGAACTAAACATGTAAAAGCGAATTAGTTACTCACTAATTTCACCATCTCTTTTAGTGTATTGACACCTTGAAGTGCTGTAGGCTTACCACCACTGGAGAGCACCCTTTCAAAACCCAGTTTCTTTACTGCTGCCAGTGACTGGAGAATATCTCTGCTCATATCAATGGCTGCAGATGTAATAATTAAAATCACAAGTTTGAGATTGTTGCATTACACAAAGGCTTCAGTCTGCAAATTCAAAACAAGAACCATACAGCTTTACAATATTTTCACTGTACAATTTTCCTTTCATCTAAATTCCTTATAATTATCAAATATGTTTGAGAGACCCAGGTTTCTCACCTAAAAAAGTCCGTGGCGACAGAATTAGCCATGCGACCCTAAATCCTCAAGCTTAACTCTTTGAGTCCCAGAAGGTTTAGCATCACAGGCCCAAGGGGTAGTCAAGAGAGACGTAAAATCGGCGCAGCATGTGTTCATTGGGCTTCTAGACAGTAACCTATGAACGTATGATGCGTTCCTTGGGAATCAAAGAGTTAAAGACTTCCCTGCCTACACCACAAAAGTGGTTTATACAGGCAGTAACGGTATTTTTTTTATGGAGACCGTTTGACAGAAATGAAAATGAAGACGGCCATTACAATAGAAAGATTAAACAGCATTAAAAGTTTATGGTTAAGCACCAGCAAGGAAATCCAAACTGAAATTTTGAGAGCATGCATCTTCCCTGTAGCAATATACGGATGTGAGTAGTGGACTATCTCCTAGTCCTTAAGAAAGAAAATAGGGGCTTTTGAGCTGAAATGCTATAGAAAGATTCTCAGAATACTATGGACAAAGAAGAAAAGAAATACTGACATTTTAAAGGATCTGAACATCAAGGAAGATTGGCTAATAAACAGCATCATGTCTTAGAAGCTGCAATATTTTGGTCACATCAAGCACCATGGCATCATTATCACCATTTGCCCTGGCAAATGATATAGGTGCTCATGCCTCTCCACAGATCACGATCCCTGGTTGCCTGGAACAGCTCTCTTGATGATATCCCTCCATGCAATCGTTTCAGTCCATCCAGCATCATCTCTCTTGGTCTGCCTCTACCCCTTTTTCTACCGATCTTTCTAGTTGTCAAGATGTTCTCCAATGTCTCTCTTCTCATTATGTGGCCAAGGAACAGTGTTCGTCTCTTTCTTATTGTTGTATATAGAGATCTGCTTTCATTAGCTTCCTTCAAGCAATCATTGTTAGTTACTCTAGCCGTCCAAGGTATTCGTAACATTGGTCTCAGAAACCATATCTCTGTTGCTTCCAAATTCTTCCTAATTTGTTCACTGACATTCCAAGATTTTCTGCCATACAGCAGAACAGGTTCTATGTAACATTTTCGCACACTCTTTCTGACATTAATTATTGCATAAGATTTTTTTCATTTTCTGAAATGCAGCTTTTGCTTGACCTATTCTGCTTTAAATCTCTGTCACACATTTTCTATCAGATGATATGATTGTTCCAAGATATTTAAATTTATTGACTTTGTTGTCTTTTTCTTTAATTGAGACACCACAACAGGGAGTTATCTTCATCTTTGATTTAACCATTACTTCCGTTTTCTTAATTTTCAATGAAAGTCCTTTCTTAGCACTCTCCATCCCCATAATATCCAGCAGTTGTTGTAAATCAGTTGCATTTTCAGCCATGGCAGATTGGAAAAAATAATAGCTGAAGGCATGGTACCAGGAATTAGGGGCAGGGGCCGACCAAAATGAAGATGGGCACAGGATATAAGTGACTCCTTGAATATGAAAGTACATGAGGCGGGAGAACTGGTGAGAGACTGAGTTTCTTTCAGGCAGACTGTGTGAAGAGCAACATTCTGCAAAGGACCTGCTACATGATGATGAATGGTAGTTTTATCATATGTGTTCAGATATGTTAGATATCATGTATGCTGGGGAGCTGCAGTAGTGTAGTGGCTAGATCCAACGGTTTTTAGTTCAAATCCACATCAAGGCAGAATTTGTTCAAAAACTGATCTTGACTCCAGGCTGACCCAGCCTAAAATGGGTATAAGGTAATATTATAAGAAGTAATGGTGGCTAGCGTGATGCTTATCACATCACTAATCGAATGTTGATTGGTCTATAAAAATATGTCTAGCATCAGATGCCTGCTGCGGAAAAACGCATGAAGAGGAGACTTTGCTTGTCTATTTAAGTTGGTACAGAAACAGTTTTGCAAGACAACTTTACCTCATTACTGATTTATTACCACATTAATCTACTGATCACTATGAAATCACAGAAGAAAAATTTTCAGAGCATGTTTTCTTCAAAATAATTACACTAACAATCTTACACTGAAAATGAATAATAGCAGTAAATAAGCTTCACAAAAAACAAAAGCTGTGCTTAATGCAGAAAGTACTTGTCACAGTTGGTGGGAAAAATGAAGTACTGTAGTTAAATTATACTGGTACAAAAAGCTGAGAACAGTTTTTAAAAATTGGAACTGAAACCCAGGAAACTTTTGTGTTTCAAAAGCCATTATTTTATGCAAACAACTTGCCTCTGTGAAAGGTTGCTGGTAATGGACGAATAAGATCTGAAATAAACCACGACATATGCTGAAAACAGTGAATTTTTTGTGGAATCATTTATTTATTTTATAATAACATTTTTTAAAGGATTATACGGGCGGTGGACATAAGTCTTTCACATAATGATCTCATCACAAACGTACATGTTTTAACTCACATGTTTTGTTATTTTTATTTGTACAGAAAGATGTACATGTTTGCAGGAAAGGTAGCAAAAGAGAGATGACAGATAATGTTAAATAAGGGAGAGATATAGCTGAGGTACTGGAAAGAGCAGGGACTACAACAGTCTTCTCAATACTCAGTCTACGAAGGCTCAGGTGGCAGAGTCCCTAAGGACATCCTTTATGGTGAATTAAAGATGGGTAAAAGATGTCGAGGCCGACCTCTACTACAGTATAAAGATGTGTGCAAGTGGGACATGAATGATACAGGTACTGAGGTGGACTCATGGGAACAAAATACCATTGACTGTGTTGTGTGGAGAGGGCATATCAGGAAGAGAATGGGAGTCAAGGAAGAAATGATTGCAGAAAACATGCAAGCTGAGCATCTGAGAAGAAACAGATTAAACAGAAATGTTGACAACAATGGTCCTGAAATCCCATGCCATTATTGTGGAAGACTTTTCTTGACACGGGCGGGTCTTGCTAGTCACACTCGCCATCGCCATGTGCTGTGAGTCCCATGCCTCTTCATAGCACAATATAACACTATTGTCTCGAAAGACGGAAAGGTGTCAATCAATCAGAAGGGGAGGGCAGAGAAATGAAAGAAAAGACAGATACATTCCCTCTTCTTCTTCCTTGCATCTTCCAACAGTCTCAACCAACTCATGTCCTGTCCAATGTAGATTTGATTATCAAAGATTTTGTTTTTAGAAGCTTTTATTTACATAATGATGTAACCGGTGTCATACCAGCCTGACCGAGTACCTCACATGACATACATGGCATATTAAAGTTATATTATTCACTGGGGCATCACAGTGGTGTAGCAGCTAGATGCTCATCTGCAGATCGGAAGCTCTATTATTGACTGGGGCATCACAGTGGTGTAGCAGCTAGATGCTCATCTGCAGATCGCAAGGTAATGGGTTCAGGTCCTGACAGAGCTGGACTTTTAAAAAAAACGTACCTGGCTCCCAGGCGACCCAGCTTTGTGTGGGTACTAGGTGTAGACCTCGGAAGTAAAGACGGCCGGCGTGATGCTGACCACATAACCCATCAAGTGCCAATTGGCCTTTAAATAAGGTTTAGCCCTATATGCCTAATACGCCTACAGGCATGGAAAAGGGTCCTAAAATTCATTGCTTTTTTAAAGGCTTTGAGATCACAAAGACGAGAACACACACATCCATATATATATATATATATATTCATTACTGCAAATATCACCCGCCTCCACTCATCTCTCTTGTTGGCCTTTTCTTTCCACTTGGTGACACCAAGCGTTTGCAGGTCTGTCTATATATTATCTTTCCATCGTCTTCTTGCTCTGCCACATGGTCTACCACCATTCAACTACCTTGTGTATACAGTTTTTACCTCTCTGTCATTTGATATTCTCTCAATATGCCCAAGTAATTTCAGTCTATTAGATCTCATGATGCCAGTGATCAATGGTGATTTAAACAGATCATGAATTCCGTTATTGCTTCTCACTCTCTATTCCCCGCAGTTAGCATCTTTGATGGGTCCAAAGATTCGTCATAAAACTCTGTTTTCAAAAAATTGTAATGAGGCTTCATCTCTTTTAGTTGTGCTCCAAGTTTCAGAGCCACATAACACGACTGGTCTTATCAACATTTTAAATATTTTGATCTTGGTGTTATGAGACTTTAGCAGATGTTGAAAGGCATAATATACTTTATTTCCAGATTATATTCTAGATTGCATTTCTTCTCTCAGCATGTTGGAGCAGTTGAAGTTTGCACCCAAAAACTTACATGTTTCTGTTTGTTTGATTGTCATATTATCGACTTATATGTAGCCGGAGTTTATATCCTTTCCCTGTCTTGTTATAATCATGTATTCTGTCTTATCTTGATTGATAACTAGTCCCATTTTGTGAGCTGCTTCTTTTAAGAGAGTCAGTGTTTTTACAGTCTCTAGTTCATTTTCTCCAACGATATCAATGTCATCTGCATAACCAAGTATTCTTGTAGTTTCTCCTGAAGTACACTCTTGTTTCAATATCCTTATAATTTTCTCCAGGACCCAGTTGATTTATATGAATATTTTTTTAAAATTTCAGATTTTTCAGAAGTTCCATGTGTGAGTTCCCAGACCTGACAGAGAAAAAAGAACAAATCCACTGCCCCTTATGATATCAAGCATGTTGTAAAGTTGACAATTAGGTGTGTTTCTTCCGAAGTCAGGGTGCATTTGCCTGAGAGGCGAGGAACCAACAGTCTGTATACAAATAAACCACATCTGGGAAGTGGGTGCACTTGCAAAGCTCAAGTAAATGTGTTGGAATTTTAAAACTAATTTTTAAACAAGTCTGAAAAAAACAAAAACAACAGAATACAACATACTGCAAACGATCTGCCCTTTTTCCCCAGTGTTTGCAGCCTAAAAGACTGTCCAGGACTCCAGAAGCCACATTCTGGACATGAATATAACAGAAAATCTGGAGAATCGTGTTCAACTGTATAAAACTTATTTTACTGCGCCCTCAGGTTACAAATAATCTGATATCCTATTGGATGGGCTTGATGCTGTGATTTTGGTTCTGTACAGAAATATGAATTAATATGCAAATGTAAAAAAAAAAAAATAAATAGGCTCTGAATAATATGTAATATTTACCTAACAACTGTTTACACTTGACCATATCAACGTCGCCATCTCTGACAAAAAATACACATATTATTACCTATAGAGATTGATGATGTGAATATACAGCCATATTACTAAAGATGTTCTCCAACAAGAAGGGTAAATATTTAAAATTAATTTTTAAATGACAAATCATCATCCTCATCATTATCATCATGTGCCATGCCAGTAAACAAAGGCTGTAATCTTTGCCATCTCACACAATCACCAGAATTGTGGATCAAGTCAGTGGTCTTGTCTCATCCATCTATATGGCTAAGCCATCCAAGTATTTACCTCTTGCTTTTTTTTTTCTTCTGTCAATCTTACCAAGTGAAAGCCCAGTTCCTGAGTCAACTGCTTCTCATAACATATCAGAAAACCCCTATGTCTCATTTCTCCAACCAGTTGACAGTTTTATATACATACATACCTATTAACACGCACGCACGCACGCACATGCACACGCGTACGCACGCACACACACACAGAGAGAGAGAGAGCTATAGATAACGAGGGACAATTAGACACAGTGGAAAACTGAGTCAATGAGGATAGACAGGAAACATAATATCATGAACATTCATGTAAATACAATCAAACAAGTACTAAATTCAAATATCTAGGAAGCATATTTACGGAGAATGGCAGACTTGAAAGAAAGCCAGAGTACAGAAGGCAAATGCTGTCACCTATTAATAGTTAGCCCCACTGTTTAAACACCTGAATGTCTCCTTTCCAGCAAAACAGCAAATGATTAATAGCATCTTTATCCCTACTTTATGTTGTCAGTGCCAAACATGGACAGCGAATAGGGCACTAGAACAGAAAATAACTACATGTGAAATATGCTGTCTCTGCAAGATCACTATGAGTTATGAATACCAACATTTGAGAGAATGTTGGAAAAAGACCATGTCTGTATTTTATTGACAGACAAAGAATGAAATATTTCAGCCATCTAGTGAGACCAGTGATAGAACCACAGCTGGCAGAAGAACAGATGGGATTTAGGATAAATAGAAGCTGCACAGATGCAATCTTCACACTTAAACAGTTAATAGAAAAGAACATTGAATACAATAAGAACTTATTTGTGGCATTCGTAGACCAGGAGAATGCATTTGACAGAATCGACAGACAATTACTATGGAAAATAATGGCAAGATATGGAGTAAGCGAACACCTCATCGAAGTGTGCAAAAGTTTATACAGGGATTGTAGAAGTGTAGTTAGAATAAATCAGGGAACATCTCATCCTTTCACAGTGACATCTGGAGTAAGACAGGGGTGTGTCTTATCACCACTGCTGTTTATCACCTACATCGACAGTATATGCAAGAAATGCCAAGCCCATGAATGAAGATCTTAGTAAGATCAACGAATTACTCTTTGCAGATGACCAGGCCTTGATAGCAGATACAGCCATGAAATTGCAACAACATCTAACATCCATGAATGAAGAATGTAAAACAAATAATATGAGAATCAACACAGAAAAGACAGAAGTAATGTCAATAGGAAAAAAGAAGACAGATCTAAACATAGCAATAGAATACAAAGGCATTAAACAGGCATCTGAGTTTAAATATCTGGGAACTACATTTACCGAAGATGGGAAATTGGATAAAGAAATTAACATTAGATGCAGTAAAGCAAACCAAGTATTCGGACAGCTAGCTCCCCTCTTACAGCATAAGACAATCCAAATCAGCACAAAGAGACATATTATTCAAAGCATATTTATTCCAACTCTGTGCTACCAGTGCCAGACGTGGTCAGTCACAACAAACCATAAAAGAAAATTAGTAACCACGGAAATGAGATGTCTGAGAAGGGCTGTAGGAGTGACCATAAGAGATAAGATCAGGAATGAGATCATAAGAGAACAAGTCGGCACAGAACCAATTCTGGATTACATGCAAAGACAGCAAGTGAAATGGTTTGCCCACTTAGAGAGAATGCCTTGTGACACCATACCATACAAAGCATACATGGAAAGAGAAGGACGTAGAGCATGGGGTAGACCTGTGAAATGGTCCTTGATTCTTCCTTGTGTTCTCTGGCTGTAAACTCAAGTGACAAGTTCTGGCTATTCATCCAATTCTGGACTTTATTCTTCTTCCAGAACTTGAGTTTTGCATGAATATCTGTTTTACAGATCTGGCTTATTTGTAAGCAGACTGTTGGTTTCTTGCATCTCAGGCAGATGCACTACAACTTTGGAAATCCCTAATTAATCGACTCTTATTCCCCCCCCCCCCCCCTCCCTTTCCTTTCCACAGTGGTACCAAAAGGGGAGTCCATAATTCAAAAATGTATGTTGCCAATTTGAAGATGCATATTCTCTTATTTGTGACATCAGTACTGACATTAATTATGGAGCTAAGTTATTCAATGAAGGCTTCAAATGTAATCATTAAAAGTATGATAGAAATTACAATAACCATGCCATTGTTTTGTCACCTGTCAATATTGTTGTTAAGAATGTCAAGAGTGTTAAGCACATGCATAGGGAAAACAAACATGACGACAACATAATAATTGTTTAAATCCCTTACCCCCTCCCAATACACTCAGGCACTAAAGAGAAGTTGTGTTCTATTATCCATTTTTGATTACCGTTAGTGCAAAACCTTTAGAAATTCATCAGCAAATGAAGGTCTAGTGTTGTCATACATGCCTGTCAGTGCAATGAGTGTAATGAGTGTAATGAGTAGAGTAAGAAGTTTTAAAACAGTGTGGCTTCAGTATGCCTGACTCGATCAGGAACATACTGTCACAGAAGTTATGCTGCTTCTCTATGGTGCCCGTCTTTTTCAGGCACGAGCAATGCTGTATGTGTTGACTGAAAAGTTCTCCTTTGACAAAACCACATGTTTTCATGATATTAACTGCGTTGACTGTGTGTCCCGTACATATTGATTCACATACTGCTCTGTATTCACTTTCAATGTTCGGAACTACCATTAAAATATTCAGAGAAGGTTCCTCTAACGTTTTTAGCATGTTTACAAGAATCTGTTCATACTTTTAGGTGCAATGTTTTTAATTCTGATAAAGATAATGAAAACTTAAATTTTCCAAAAAGTGACTTGGACTGTGAATTTGCACCAGCGGCAGCTAAGCAGTCAGCTGTTATAGAATCTAGCCGTTCTGATGAGCTAAACCTGACCCATTTCATTTGTGAAAGGTGATAGTCCCCACATTTTCATTCAAAGGACTGTTTCAAACAGTTCCATACTATGATTAAGCTGCACTGAATACATTCCAATACAGTCTGCATTTAACTGTACAAAGTAAATATTTTGCGTGTAATGGTCCATTTTTTTTTGCCATTCTGTGTGTTTTTAATTGGCACAGGAGCGGAGCAACTATGTGGTGTCCCATTTGCTATGAAGTTGAAACTATGATTACCAGATTACCTTGGAGGGATATCAAGAGGTAAATTCATTCACACACAGGGTGTTGATTGGGACTAAAAGAGTTAACAAAAATACTGATAGGGAACAAAACAATGGAATTTGTATTATAATTTCTGTCACTTTTTAAGGTTTTTGTTTGAAGCCTCCTTCTGACATTTTCAATTTCTTCATTAATGAAGTGCAATTTTTGGCTGACATATGTGTGTGTGAGTTTAAAAAAATGATCTGTAACCTTTATCTTTGTTTTATATTTGCTATATCAATAAAATCTCATACTGGGGTATATATGCAGCAAATATACATCATTTTTATACATCAGTTTAAGATTTTTACTAGGAGCGGGGAAATCTGAAGTGATATAAATTAACTAATTCAACACTAATTTTGGGTCTGTTTAAAAAAAAATCATAATGGTGAGGTTGCCAGTCTCATAAAAATGTTTTAGATCATAAAGGTACAGTTTAAAGTAATAAACTTATATGTACTGTGTTAGGATCCCAAAGACAAATCCATCAGCTCCTGCTTGTTTTAGACATAATATGTCTGCCTTCATTACTTCCAATTCCAGATCGTTGTAGCAGAAGTCACCACCTCGAGGCCGTATCATGCAAAAGACAGGAATGGAGATATTCTGCTTAATCACTTTCAGCATCCCTGAGAAAGTAGTCAAAAATTTACTATCAAAGTATTAGCAACTCTAGGCCTCTTGAGACACCTTTCCAGTGAATATAACAGAAATGGCTTGTCAAGGAATTAGTAACATGTCAACTTAGCTGAAGACTTCTTCTTCCTCCTCTTCTTCTTCTTCTTTCTTCAACTTCTTCCTTCTTCTTCTTCTCTCCTCCTTATTATTATTATTATTATTATTCTTTTTCTTCCTTCTTCTTCTATCTCTTCTTCTTCTTCATCTTCCTTCTTCTTTTTCCTTCTCCTTCCTTCCTGCTGCTTCTTCTTCTTATTCTTCTTCTTCTGCTGCATTTGCCTTTAAAAGGACCACTGACATACTGCACTGCGGTTTACAGCTAAGCTTAGCTTACTTTCTATCCTTCCCTTTCTATCCTTTTTTAAGCTGCTCCCTTTAAGTGCACTGCATCAGCATAACTGCTATATTTGCACCTTTTGGCAACTCAGGGGAAGAATGAGATTGATATACAATCAGATGGTTACTGGTACCATTGGAATCGGAACTCTTTGCCTGCTGCTGAAGATGGGGACTTAGCACTTATGGAGTATCTCGAGTGCTGTGATGTTGATTCTTAATTCAACATTCAACATTCTTTAGGCTGACACAAAGACTTTAATTGGGCATTTGTTCACCAGGTTAGCTTCTCGGTTGATTCCACAGGACATAACATAGCCTTATCTGTGACATTATCTGTGATCTCCTCTTTATCACTTTATCTGCAGGTGTTGCATCTACATAATCCAACCAAGGCAGCTGTGTACACATTGGTCAGCACTCAACAGAAGGCAGGGACAGAACAATAGCATTCCCTGCTATATAGAGAGATTTCAATAAATGCACAGCTGACAGATGATACTCTGGTCCTGGGCTTCCAGTACAGGAACAGCTTGTGCCAGGCGTGGCTTCCCCTTATAGTCACAACACTATGACAAGTAGGGCCTGTGTTAGTGGACATTTGAAAATTTCTGACACACAGGAGGACAACTGATGGTCGGCCATCGGAACCTTGTTTGTCACACAATAGGACATTTAACAGTCTGATTTTTTAACCTTGTCTGTCGCACCATAGAACATTCAATGGTTGGATGTCTGAAACTTTGCTGTTATGTTGTAGGACGACTTGCTTGACTGATGGATATTTGAGAGTAAGCATCATTTCAGTAGGACATTTGGTTGAAGATGCTTGAAACAAGGTTGTCAAATGGTAGGATATTCAGCCAGCAGGTTCAATTTATATTACAAATGAGTTTTCAATGAAGATTATGGCCCATGCATTGGGGGTGAGCTGATGAGAGTCAGAGCATTCTTGAACACTGCCTCTCTGGGGGCCACCAACTTCAAGATCCACTGCCAGATCCATTCAGGCTAATATAGGTCATTATCCATCGCAAATGATGGGGATGTGTGGCAGGTGTCTTGCATCAGAATATTACAACCAGCACAAAGTCTGCTGGAGCCTGAGGTGAAGTATGGAGTATCTCCTTATACATAACACTTTAACTTTCCCTCAAGCCTGTGATCAAAATCACAGTACTACAGAAAATGGTCTGACTTTCTGTCTTTAAATGTTACTATGAGTATCTTCCAGGCATAGACACCACACTTTTAAAGCGCAAACTGCATTTTAAAAATGTAGTCACTGGAGATTAGAAAAATGTTATGTATGTTATATAGAACGATTTTAACATTTAGAATATAGTTGCACATTCTAGACAATAATTAGAAAATTTTTTTTTTATCTCTTGAGGTCTCAGGGATATGATATAAAGAATGTAAAAAAAATACATTGGACAGTAATAAAAGTAATTATTGTTTTGAAAATAGTTAAGAAACAAAGATACATTACAAAGTGATTGTGTAATTTTCGGTTCATCAGTCATGTAGCAGGTCCTTTGCATAACATCGTTCTCATTACCGTCTGCCTAAAAGAAACTCAGTCTCTCACAAGCACTCCCACTTTGAGCACTTTCATAACCAAGGATTCACTTATATCCTGTGCCCATCATCGTACTGGTTGGCCCTGCACCTCCTTCCTGCTACCATGCTTTTCACTATTATTTTTTTCCAACCCACCGTGGTGTTTGCTATGGCCAAAATATTTCCGCTTTGGAGACACGATGCTGTTTATTAGCCAGTTTTCCTTGTTCAGATCTTTTAGAATTTAGTATTTCTTTTCTTCTTTGCCCATGGTATTCTGAGAATTGTTCTATAGCATTTCAGCTCAAAAGCCCTTATTTTTTTCTTCAGGACTGGGAGATAGTCCACAACTTACATCTGTATGTTGCTGCAGGGAAGATGCATGCTCTAAAAATTGTTGTGTCACATTATAAACATGAGAAATGTAGGAGCATGTGATAAGGGGAAAACTCCATGTTATGTGAGCAGTGAAAGAACATTCTCCACAGCTTTTCGTTCTTCTTCTATTATTTTTTTCAGCACCGCTGCCGGCTTGAAAGGCCTGAAAAGCCAGAGCTCCATTAGCCTGAGACCCCACAGCCTCAGTTTTCCAGTGTCTACCGCTTGGAGGTGGAGCTGGCTTGGATGTCCTACAGGTCATTGGCAGGATGCTAATTGTTGCTTTTCGCTCTTCCAAGGAAGAGCCAGCCAACCATTACCCCACTGATTTGAATGCCAACACATGGACATATTCTCCTGCACACCAGCTTTTCATACTGGCATGAAAAGTAGTCAGTACACAAACTTATATATTCAGTTGGAGCTTATAAGATTTGGGGAAGTAAAACCGCCAAGCCAACAAGGCACAAGATGATGATAATCAAAGTGTTGACCAAGCCTCGTTAAATGTATTAGTCTTCAAAAGAAAATGGCTGAAAGGAAGACAATTTTGATCATGATACTTTCATAATATATTAATCATGGTATTGGTAGTTTACCAAAGAAGTTAATTACCATGAACAAACTATGTATGGAAGACACTTGTAATATAGAAATAAAGGCAGAAAGTCAGACTCTTTACAAATAACATCTGGTTTATAACAAGGTGATGCTCTGTCCCCACTTCTTTTCAACTTGGCCTTGAAGAAAATTATAAGGCAATTAAAACACGAGTGTACTATAGGAGAAACTACAAGAATACTTGGATATGCTGATGACATAGATATCATTGGAGAAAATGAACTAGAGGCTGTAAAAACACTGAATGTCTTAGAAAAATCAGCTCAGAAAATGGGACTAGTTATCAATCATGATAATAACTAGACAAGGAAAGGATATAAACTCCGGCCATATACAAGTCGATAATATGAAAATCAAGCGAACAGAAACATATAAGTATTTGGGTGCAGACTTCAACTGCTCCAACATGCTGAGAGAAGAAATACAATCTAGAATACAATCTGGAAATAAAGTATACTATGCCCTTCAACACATGTTAAAGTCAAAGTGTCTGCCTCACAACACCAAAATCAAAATATACAAAACATTGATAAGACCAGTTGTTTTATATGGCTTTGAAACTTGAAGCACAGCTAAAAGAGATGAAACCTTATTACAGGTTTTACTAAAACAGAATCTTATGACGAATCTTTGGATCCATCAAAGATTCAAACAGCGGTGAATGGAGAGTGAGAAGCAACAACAAAATTCATAATTTGTTTAAATCACAACTGATCACTGGCATCATGAGTGCTAATAGACTGAAAGGGTTGGGGCATATTCAAAGAATGTCAGATGACAGAGAAGTAAAAACTGTATACACGAGGGAGATGAATGGTCGTAGACCACAAGGCAGACCAAGAAGACGATGGAGAGATAATATCTAGACAGACCTGCAAACACTTGGTGTCACCAAGAGAAGGCCAACCAGAATGGAGGTGGGTGATATCTGCAGCAATGAACCTCAAGGGCTCAGAATGCTGAAAAAGAAGAAGAAGAATAGGTAAAGTTTACTCAATTCACACAAACAAGGCATTATCATAGGATTACATTTATTTCTGATAATATTCAGCATGCTGGATGTAATAAATATACAGCCTAATTACATTAAACATTATGCTCTTTATAATATCATAAATTATGTTCTATGTTATCGTAGTCTTGCAACATGAAACAATTTCTTTACCAAGACTTGGGGTTGTTCCACCATCTGCCAAACTAGCACAAAGCTCAACACGACAGGCACCTGGCAAAAATTAATATAACTAATTAGCAATTAAAGATTAAATAATGAAGTGTTTTATTTGAAAAAAAAAAAAAATTAAAAAAAAAATAACTTTAAAACAGCAGTACAAAGTCTGATGAAAATCAAACCGAACGTAAATTAACTAATCAGGTGCAATCTTTCCAATCCCTTCTTACGTGGCTTCAGGGGCCCAGTTTGGAGGGAAAAGGAACAGACTCCCTCCCTTCAACAAGCATGTTGTAAAAACTGACTGAATAGGGTATTAATGAAATGGGATCTGTTGGGCCACAATGGTGCAGACATCGCTGTACAACTGTAAATCAAAACACAATATGCCAACCGCCCTGTTACCCCTCTTGCCAAGGGAACACTTTTTAAAAAAAAGTCTTGACTCCGTTGGTATTCCAGAAAAATCTTTAAATCAACAACAATTTTTTTTCACACAGGTCACTAACAAAATTTGCTTAAAATGTACTTGTCTATTTCAAAAGAAATGCTATTTTTAAAATATAAAAGGACATGCGAAGGGAGTAATCAATAAGCCTAAATATGGTGTAATATTAAATGGAATACAGTCCTCATGACCTATAAAAACATATGGGAATAACCCACAAACTCGGGCCCAGACTCCGGTCACTTACACACTAGGTCACTTTTGACTGGTGCTTGGTCAGGCCCGTGAACTTTGTTCAAAGTTACAGGGGTGTCCTGGTTTACTGTTTGCTCGAAAAGCCTTCTGCTTTGTCTTCTATTTACGTTTTCATTCCGAAAAAGATAATGCGTGGGATGTAGGCTGCAGGGTTTGTGTTAGGGCTAGTTCTGTATGTTTTTGGACCGTTAAAAGCCCTGACATCCTGGAATATACAACATGCGATATCACCGGTTGGTGTAGAGAACGGAGAAAGCTTTTTGAAACCTGGACACCCCAGTAATCTTTAGCAAAGTTGACGACTCTAAAAAAGTATGAATTAAAAGTGACCTAGCGTGTAAGTGGGCAGAGCCTGGGCCTGGAAATGGAAGTTGTACCAACATATGTATTGGGTGACTCAAGATGAGTGACCTCTATTAATTCCCCCATTAATAGGAAATTGGACCCAGCTGAAGTGTCAGTTTAATAACTTTTAGAGGGAGAGGGTTAAAGGGCTCTTCTCCAAATGATGGGTCTGAATGATTGTGTTTAAAAATAGGCCCTTGGTTAAAGGTGCAGAAGAAGATACCATCGTTTTTTTTAAAAATTATTTTTTATTTCAAAAACAATGTTTTTTTCATTTCGAAGTCTAAAAAAATCACTGTATGATTGCTTTTAAGAAAATACTGTGATAAAAGCGACATTTTGAAAAGGACCTGCTACATAACACTGGGCCAGGAGTGCAGAAAGAGGCCAGCGGGTGCTACAGAGGTGGAAATCCAACCGTTGATTCACGACAATTCACACCCAGGTGATCTGATTATTTATACAGATGGTTTGGTGTTGACAGGAAAGAGAAGTGCCTGGGGTTTCGTAGCGAAAGCCAATGGAAAATCTTTAGCGCAAGACAGCCTAGCATAAGACACCACAACATCTAGCATGAGAATGGAGGTGGTAACTGCAGCTCTCTGGTGGCTAGAGAACAAGATGCATACACATGTCGTAACTGTACAGACTCTGAAAGCATGCTGAGAAAGGTGAAGACAGGGATGCTTTGAGCAGACTGGCAAGCTTTACTGGGAAATAATGGGTATTTAGCATATTTTGGAACTTTTATCGTGGTCGGTAATGAACAGGCAGACAGATTGGCTGGATCTGCACCATTGGGTGGTGAATTAATACATGACAAGGCAGATGTGGTCAAGGCCCTATGGCAACAAGCAAACGGAATCAGTAGAAAAAAAAAAAACAAATCAAGGTTGTTATGGCCTGGAGAGAATGAGGCACCTGGGTGTAACTAGACGGTCTTGCCGGCTCACTACACTCAGAGTAAAGGCAAGACGGACATATAACCAGATTGTGACCGGTACCATCAGCATTGGAACTCTGCGCTGGCTGCTGAAGATGTAGTCGGAGCACAGAAATGCCCCGAGTGCCGCGATGTCAATTCTTGACTCAACTAAACAAGACCTGCTACGCGATGACATTTGTGATGATGATTGGAAATGAAGTTTGTGTACCTCCAGTTTCAGAATTTATAGCTGACTGAACTGAATCGATGCATACTTCCATCGTTTTTGCAATGGCAACAGAATTGTATAATGTGATGTAATTGATCTTTTTATAACAATTAATCGTTTCGTACTAAAGTTTCATGTATCTATGTGGGTATTACTAAGTATTATTGTCTACTGAACCACTGCCGGGCTCCAGCATTTATAGAAGGCGGTGATTGAGTTTACAGTTCGATATAAGAATCGAAAGTTGCCAGGTATATTTAGTCACTTTACGTTTGTAAAAAGAATAATTAAACTGTGTCCTTAAAATGCCATGCTTTACATGAATACAATTTAATTAAGACAAATTTGGTATAATAAATTATTTATACGCTTTTTTAAAATAGAATATAATGTAAAATGCAGTTGGTATGTTATAAAATTAAAAATTATTATCGGCTTAAGTGGCAAGAGACCTTATCCTGCTTTTCATGCCGTAAGAGGGATCGGTATCCGATTTGTGCTATGTTTACTTGCAGTTTTTAGAACATTTATGATCTGTTATATAATTTCATTTATGATTGAGAAATAAGCATGGCATTGCTGATCAGGAATTTTGCACCGACACGTTTGTCTTTATCTGGATTATGTTACCGCCAAGTATGTTTTCAAATGTCCTTGAATACTTTGTTTGTCTATTTCTGTGCTGTAGCGTAGCCTGCATTTATTTTATTTTAAAAGATAAATTTGTTAAACTTATATAACTATTTTATTTCCCTGACCTCTACACATCGCTGCTGCACTTAGACTTATGTATAAGTTTGCAAGCTTCGCGTTCGAGTTAAACCCCAATTCAATTAGTTTTAGTAACAGGCTTTTAGGTTGTTTGGATTGGTTGGACTTTCCTTCAATTGTTCATCACCTTCCATGATCATGATGATAAAAAAGTCCTTTGAACAACAGACGTTTGTTTGTGTATTATTATTAATATTACTATAACTTCAGTCGATAGCTTTTGGACATTGTAGCTGCGCAGCCGCGAGGAAAACACTGATAGGGGGTGGGGGGGGGGGGGGTATTAATGACAATCCCTAAATAATATTCTAGAGGGTGGGGCAGCAGCTCAGCTGGTAAAGTAAGACTTGTCTTGTTCACTTGTGCAATAATAATAATTGGGCTCTCCTGTAAACTACGGCCGGTAGACAACAGTAGACGGCCGGTTAGTCAGAGTTCTGTCCCTTGGCTGCAGTGCAATTACGGAGTGGAAAAGGAGGGAACAAAACAATTGACACAATTACTGTGTGTTGGCGATAGACAGCGTGCACTGCCCTGCTATAATCATACGGTTACAGTTTGGGTTAGGGTTAGAGTTAGGGTTTGGGTTACGGTGTGGGTTAGGGTTACGGTTAGTGTCACCGCATCTCGTCTTTGCGCAAACTCATAGTAGCAACCCAAACCCTAAACCAAACCCAAACCCTAACCCTAATCCAAACCCTAACCGTATGATGACAGTAGGGCACTGCACGCTGTCTATCGCCAACACACAGTAAGTATGTCACTTGTTTCGTTCCCTCTATTCCACTCCGTAATGCGTCGCAAGAAGCGGTAATTGAACGCGGTCGCTAATTTGAGTCGCAACGCGGGGTCTGCAAGCCATGTCGACGTCACTTTGTGTTGTGATTCGTGCCTTTTCCACTCCGTAATTGCACTGTAGCCAAGGGACAGAACTCCAACTAACCGGCCGTCTACTGTTGTCTACCAGACCGTAGTTTACAGGAGAGCCATTGTTTTTGTCGTTATTTTGTGCTGGATGGCAAATAAGTATAATTAACGAAGTTGAGGAAAGTTGCTGGGGGGGGGGGGGGGGGGGGCATTGACTCTGCTCTCTAAAGATTATTGGATGAGATTCCTCACCCCCCCCCCCCCCCCCCCTCTTCCCAAAAAAAGCTGAGGTGGTGTGGGGGGGGGGGGGGCAGAACTCAAGATGCCTGAGTTGCTTGGGTTAAAGTGCTTATGGTCCCTTACCAGTTGGAACTCCTGTGCGTCATGTATTGTGATTCTCAGTATGCTTCAGTAACATCTCTAGTTTATTGCTGGCCAATCCCTAACACTCCTTCCAAGAACAGTCTCTTCTGTTATTGGTCTTTCAAAGCATTAAGATGTACAATATGACCAGAATTTCCAAAAGTATTTTAGTTTCTGAGACATGAGTGTTTATAAGCCAATTTTTTACTTCTTGTGTGGGTAGGAGATGGTTGAACACACTGTATCTCTCTCATATCATGAGTAGAATACTGTTTTTTTCACAGCACACTCTTAAAACAAAAGCTGAAACCCTCGAGAAAATCTTGAAAATGTTGTTGAATTAGGCTACAAATCCTGATAATAGATCTGCATTTTATATGTGAAGTTTAATTTTATAATCTTTGAAAAATTAATATGTATTTGAAACAGTAACATTGTATTTTATGTTACATTTTTAGAACACATGTTCAAGCTGCTTCCAGAAACTAAAGGTTCCTACAGTGAAATCTTTACGTGCTTATCAATGCCTTAAAAATGGCACAGCAAGCAAAACTAGATCGGTTAGTGTATGTGGTGTTTATCTGATTGTCTATTTTTTATATCACCTTTTGATGGTAAAATAGAATTGTATCATTAACTGTGTTTGCTGTTATAGACTAAAGATATAGCCAGACTGTTTGGGATGAGAGAACAACAAGTTTTTTTTTGGTTGTAAATGTGGTTCAGTAAAAAGTGTGAAACATTAAAAATATATTGAGGTATTACCCATACAAAAGAGTATTATTGTGTACCTATTTTATTGATGGGTACTAAAGGGTCTAAAGTCCAGAAATCAATGAACAACTAGAACTTTTTTTTTTTGACTTTGCAGTCAGTGATCATGAAAAAGAAGGTTGATGGAACAAGACTGCATGGAAAGGAAAGGTGGCGAGAAATGAAACTGGCTACTCAACCTTATATGTCTCGGACTGGAACACTTCATACCATGATAGCTGGAATTACTCTGGGACTGCTTTAACTTTTTGTATATTTTTTAAATGTTAGAATAGGAGATAAAACTCACTTTCCCACATTTTATTTAAGCATCTGTATATAGGAAATAGCATACAAAATGAAATTAAAAAACTTGATGAAATGCTTAAAATGAACATTTTACATTGTTTTCTTCTTTTTTAATTTAAAATAATATACTGGTGAGGGAATTGAATTCATTGGCATTCTCCTTGTAGTTTTCAGGGGTGGGGGGGGGGGGGGGGGGGGGGATAGACCCAGTGTTTGCCTGACAAGCATGTCATACAAGTTAACTAATTAGGTGGGTTTCCTTCAAAGAATGCATCTGCCTGAGAGGCCAGATACCAACAGTTTGCAAAGAAATAACTTAGTTCTGTAAAACAGAAGTGCACACAAAATTCAGGTTCTGGAACAAGACTAAAGTCCACAAGTGGGCAGACAACCAGATATTTCCAATGGAATTTACACGCAGTGAATGCAACAAAGAAGAAGAAACAACATGACAGAATCACTGATTTGGAACTTTCAAAGAAAACTAAGCAAATTTTTGGTAAATCGAGAGTTGAGGCAAGGACGCAGGAATTGGATAGGACACACATTGAGAAAATTTGATAGCAGTATAACTAGAATGTTTTTGCATAGAAACCCACTCGCCTCAACAAATTAAAGCAGACCATATGCACGCGTGCACAAGCATGCACGTGCGGGCACACACACACATGCAAACATGGACAAGAGAATTTAAAAAAAAAATGGGGTGGCAGCAATGAAAACAATATGAGTGAGCAGCATGCTATGGCTCAGGATAGGACAACTTGGTGTGAGTTAGTTGAGGGCAAAAGAAGAAGGAAACACAATATTTCCTTGTCCTGCACTTTCTGTCAGTGTTAAAATTCAGTTTCTTATTTTGCAGATATTCTCCCATGGTCTTTTTACCTCCTTGCGAAGCACAACCACAGCAGCAGCTGTCTCAGACATATCACACAAATCTCAGAAAATTGTGGGACTTTGGATGATGGGCTGTGCTGGCATGTGCTTCGGAGCTGTGATTTTAGGTGGAGTTACAAGGTGAAAATCATTAGTAGATTTCAACATCTCTTCTTATTTGTTTCGCTGTGGCGGAGCGGCTAGGTGCTCGCCGTGGATCGGAAGGTTGTGGGTTCACTCCTTGGCGGAGCCGAACTTTTAAAAATGACCTTGGCTTCCAGGTCAACCCAGCCTTGGGTGGGTACTGGGTGCAGTACCGGGAAGTACAGGCTGTCGGCGTGATGCTGACCACATCACCCATCTTGTCCCGATTGGTCTATAAAATATAGGTCTAGCTATATGCACCATATGCCTAAAGGCGTGGAAAATGATCCTTTACTTACTTGTTGTTGGTTTATACAAATTTATTCATGTTTTATATATTTGTCATGTGATACTGTTATTTCTTAATCTTTTATATTCTTTTTTTCAGATTCCTGGGCTTAAAATGTATTTAAATGAGGCAAAATATTTCGGTTTTCTGTTGTTGTTTTTTTAAACCCTTTTAGCAACTTTTATTTCACACCAAATCTTTTCAAAACTTCTCTATTTGATTGTTTTGTTTTTCATAAAATACCTCTTATTCTGTGAATCCACAACTTCAGAGACTCAGTTAAGTTTTCTTGTTACTTGTTCATTGTCCAGGTCTCTACACCAAATGGTAGTTCAGTGTTTAGAACATTTCACAGTTCTCATTTTCACTGGGTTGTTTATCTCTCTAGCTGTCAGTAATTTTTGCATCTTTTTGATGACAATTTTAGCCATTCCTATTCTCTTTGTGACATCTTTTTCACTTCTGCCATCATCTGTTATGACTTGTCTAAGATAGGAGAAACTTGTTACTTCTTCTAATATCTCTCCATTTACTGTGAAACATACTAATGTGTGTATTATATATATATAATCAATGATCTGCATAACTTTAGTTAGATGTGCTTAGGCTTTATGAAGTTTAAAAAAAATTAACCAACAAAAGGTTGGAAGAACTTGAATATATAAATATCTTGTTTGATTGTCATAGTTTCATTTTCAGCAAAATAAATTTATATACAAGTTTAGTTCCATGAAGGTGATGATTTGCTAGTAAAAATAATGTTTTGAAACACTGAACATTTTTAATTGTTTCCCTGTAAACATAACATCAGTATTTATAAAATAGGAAATTTGAAATATAACACATATTACTCGACCTTCTAATATTTCCTTGTTAGTATTTTCTTTTGAAATAATAATTAAAGCAATGTTTCCCCGATGTGAATTTGAACAAAGAAGACACAAACAATAGACGGCACAATTTATTGCCTGGCATATTTCGCTGTATCTTGTCAGGTGCATACTACAGTAACAATTGTTACTGTAGTATGCACCTGACGAGATACATTGAAATATGCCAGGAAATAATAATTGTCTATGATACATTAATCAAGGGGAAGTCAATAAGTAAGTCACAAATGGTTATGTGATGGAAGGAAAATGTAGTTGGTGGTTTCTAAAGGTGTCATTAGGTCACAGAAACATGAAACTTTATGCCTCCGTTCGTTAGGTGACGCTAGGTGTTGCATGCACATTCGCAACACAGAAACAAAATGGTGTCTGTATTTATGAACAACGTGTTGTGTGTGTGTGTGTTTTTTTGGGGGGGACAAAAGGGCCGCCTGCAAATGATATTCATAAGAAAATGCTTCCTGTTTATGCTGATAAATGTTGATCCCCTAAAACGGTGCATAGCTGGGTAAAATTTTTTTCAAGGACGCTCTAAAATTGTTAATCAAGGCCTGCTGACTAGAAGAGTACTGTTCCTTCATGACAGTGCCAGACCACATACGGCTAAGTTAACTCCGGAGAAAATTGACCATCTAGGATGGGAACTTCTGGAACATCCAGCTTACAGCCCCGACTTTGCCCCTAGCGATGTCCACCTTTTTTATCCTTTGAAAACCCACCTTGTTGGGAGACATTTCATGAAAAATGCAAAAATTTAATTTAAAATGAAAATGTGGTTTAAAAAACAGAGCATGTAGTTCTATGCACTAGGCTTGAGAGGACTGATTAAATGCTGGGACAAGTGCATCAATGTTTGTGGAAATTATGTTGAAAGATAAATTTGCAGTGTATGTGTAAAAATTAATGGTTTTCAGGTTGTCATCTTAAGACTTTTTTTTTTACAACTATTTGTGACCTACTTATTGACTTATCCTCGTATATTTCTACAGACTAACCGAATCTGGCCTTTCTATGGTTGACTGGAAGTTGCTTAAAGACATGACACTGCCTAGTTCTGATGCAGAATGGCAAGCAGAGTTTGAGAAATACAAGCTGTTTCCTGAGTACAAATAGTAAGATAGAACCATGTCAGCTGCATAATTCTGTCATTTTTATCATACCCACGAGTATATATATGTAAAGTGGAAGACCAGTAGGTGTGGCAGTGTGTTATATTTTTTACTTTTTATCTATCAGATGATGATCAGAAATGGGTTTCCCTGATATTTGAAAATATTCACATGAAAAGAATGTAAAGAACTGAATACCAACATCTGAAGTAGGGAATCTATATTTTTTTCAATCGTGATATGAGAAGGATAAAACTGGCGTACATCTTGATGGTAGGAAAGCTAGAGAGGAAAAGAAGCAGAGGCTGAGAAAAAAGATGCTGGAAAGTTTAACATCATGGCATGGACGATCATCTGTGTCAGAAATGAGTGAATGGACACTAGAAAGAAGGTTGTAGATAAACATTACTACCAACATTACATAGTATGGATGAACATTTGTGTCAGAAATGAGTGAAAGTACACTAGAAAGAAGAAGAAGCTTTTTTTTTCATCTAATTATAAGTTGTCGTTCAGTGCCGTCTCTAGACTAGAGGTTGGCTACAGTGTATCACTGTTCTCTTTAGGAATATTACGTGGTGAGGCCCCAATCTCTTCCACAGTGCGACTCTTGTACTATTGTTGGAAAACCACGAGTATGGATTTTTACCAGTTTTTAAATATAAGTGATCACCTGTCAATTAAAACTAGGTGATTTAAAAAAGAAAAACAGAATTGAAGATGCCTGATTTACATGTGCATAAATATATGCTAGCAGATGTCTGTAAGGTCAGAAAAAGTAGTAGTACATGCAGCTTACCTGAGAAGTAATAGTAAAGGACACCTTTAGGCGTATTGGGCATACAGGGCTAGATCTATATTTTATAGACCAGTCACCACTTAGTGGGTGATATGGTAAGCATCACGCCGGCCGCCTTTATTTATCAGTACTCCACCTGATACACACTCAAGGCTGGGTCAGCCGGGGAGCCAAGGTCATTTTGGAAAAAATATCTAGTATCGCCAACCCATGACCTTTGGATCCGCAGGAGGCGTCAAGGGACTACACCATGGCTGTTTGGTTTTACTAGGCAATTTTACGTTCAGTAATTTGCTAGTGCTTCTTGAACAGTTTAAAATTATTGAAATCAAAACGATGTGGTCTGTTACTAAATCATGTTCAACTTACTTTAATCTGGTATGACAGGATTATGAAACTGCCTTCATAACACCTAAAACTCCTATGATGACTACTTGATAATATCAAAGACATATGTTTGTCCATGCACCAAATCTGTATTTACATTATAATTTGTGTTGTGTCTTTTTTTATAGCATGGAAGATAAACAAGAAATGACCTTGTCTGACTTCAAGTTAATCTTTTACATGGAGTGGGCTCATCGCATGTGGGGACGTGCAACAGGTTTGGTTTTCCTGATACCAGCCGTATATTTCTTACGCAAGGGCTGGATATCTCAGAAAATGAAACCTCGACTTGCATTGTTTGCTGGACTTTTAGGCTTACAGGTCTGTGCTGCTATTTGATTTATATCAGAAGTAAATTCGAAATATTCAGAGATTAGACATAGAAAGTCAGTGTTTTTTGGTCATGTTGTGAGAAGGGATAGACTCAAGAACTGGGTTATGACAGGCAGGATTAATAGAAATAGAGCAAGGAGAAGGCAGAAAGATAAATACCTGGATGGCTGTGCCATATTGATGAGGGAAAGACAATAACACTGCACTGATCCATGATTTTGAGTGATCTTGTAAGACGGTGAAACATGTAACTTATTATGAAGGCATGTGATGATGATGGTGATAAAGTAAAAGACTGTTGTCCATGCCCTGAGGTGTGTTGGGTACACCATGAAAGTCAAGTAAATAATCCTTGTCCATGACTTCAAGCATACTGGGCATTTAGCGCTAAACCTAACGTTTATAGACCAATGGGCACTCTGCTGGTGATGCCTGCTGCTTTTACTTCCCAGGACTTTACCTGGTACCCACTTAGAGGTTGGGTCACCTAGAAGCCAAGGCATTTTTTTAAACATTCTGATTTGAACCCACTACCTTTGGATCCGCAGATGAGCATCTAGCCACTAAACCACAGCGCCTCCCTGGGTACTCAGTGCTTGCTCCATATTTAAATAGACTAATGACTACTGGATATATGATTTGTGCATCATGCCAGCCGCCTTAACTTCTCAGCACATATTCTGGTACCCATTTTAGGAAGGGTTGGCCTAACAGTCCAGGTCTTATATCGACACATATGAGATACAGCCAGTGCTGTGAAGTTGATTCTGTCAATGTTAACTTTAACTTAGTAAATATTGTTTTTTTTTTTTACATTTTTTTAAATTTAGAAACCAGGAGTTGTTGACCCTTTGACTCATAGATTTCGCAACCCTTTGGCCTTGATTCCATGATAGATACCATAAATCTGGGAGAAATGTGGCTTTTCTGCATACTCCCGGTCGTGAACATGGACCACAAGGAGTTCATCAACTGGTCGCCACGAGTCAGGTTTAACAAACTACGCTAGCGAGCCGGGCGTAATTATAGTTACGTGCCATAAAACCCTGTTTAAATAAACTTGCTTAAGATTAACACTTGGTTAACGTAAATTGTGGTCCCAGTAGAGATGTACAGTATTACATGTATTATTAGTCCTTAGAAAACAAACTCTTTATTTTTTGGACACTTGGAATTTGTGTTCACAAAGTTTTACTGTAATTTAAAGTAGGCTTGCAGGTTCTGCTTTTTTTACCATTTGGTTTCATATCTGCTTGTTTTAAAATTACTGAAGCATGTTGCTTCAATACACATTGTAGAAGAAAAACCGGCACTCTTCCGAATACCGGCCCCATATTATTCAAAGACAAAAAATCCCATTCAGGGCCTCAAGAGGTCGTTGTTAGGGACTTGAGAGGTCATGTAGTTAAAAATATGGAACAGGAACACTACAAACTATGCTTTCTTTTATTATATAATTTCGTTTGAACGAAATTACCAAGTCTTCCCTAGTATAGTTGATAAGCAGTCTGCTTGTTACGCCGGTGATCAGGGTTCGATTCTCCGGCGGTCAATTAAAATTTTCTTTTTTTTCTTCAAAAGGGTGGTTTTGCGCCTTTACTCGGTCTTGTGGTTAACAGCTAGGTTGCGATAGCGGCGGCAAATTTTTTTTTTAACTTCTAAAAGGGTGGTTTAGACGTTGTTTTGTAGTTACAACTAGGCTACGATATCTGCTTCGCTAAAGCTACGATATCTGCCTCGCTAGTACAGTTGATAAGCAGTCTGCTTGTTACGCCGGTGGTCGGGCTTTTCTTTAAAAGGGTGGTTTGCACGTTGTGTTGTGGTTACAACTAGGCTGCGATATTTGCGCCCTTCGCTCGGTCTTGTGGTTAACAGCTAGGCTGCGATTGCGCCCTTTGCTCGGTCTTGTGGTTAACAGCTAGGCTGCGATTGCGCCTTTCGCTTGGTCTTGTTGCGATAGCGGCGGCAAATTTTTTAATTTTTTAACTTTTAAAAGGGTGGTTTAGACGTTGTTTTGTAGTTACAACTAGGCTACGATATCTGCTTCGCTACAGCTACGATATCTGCTTCGCTAGTACAGTTGATAAGCAGTCTGCTTGTTACGCCGGTGGTCGGGCTTTTCTTTAAAAGGGTGGTTTGCACGTTGTGTTGTGGTTACAACTAGGCTGCGATATTTGCGCCCTTCGCTCGGTCTTGTAGTTAACAGCTTGGCTGCGATAGCGGGCGCGAAATGCTCAATGGTCATGTCACGGGCAGCTAATCTCTTTTTTTTTTTTTTTTGTCCGCCCTTGAAATGGCGGTTGGCATAGTGTATTGTGGTTTACAAATACGCTGCTATATCTGCGCCTTTCGTGCTAGGTTGCGATATCTGCGCCTTTCGCCCCATCACATCTGATTTCAGCAGTCCTAATTAGTTGCCTTTTACAACATTCTTTTCAGGTGGCAGTGGATCAATTCTTTTTTTTTTCCTCCTTGGAACCCACAAAAAATGTCTTGTGTGTGACTTGTCGCTACTTGGAAGGGCATCAATACGTGGTTATTATTGTTACCGAAGTCGATTATTGGTTGGTTGTAATAGTCCATGGTTAAAGAGATACAGCCTAATAATGACTCGTGAAATATATTGAGCTGACTGAGTATCCTCGGGAAAAGAGAAAAGGCGTTTATCGATATAGATATACTTTTGGTAAGATGATAAAAGATGAAGACTGCACGTTACTTATATAATGTTTGCACCTACTTTCACTGTTTACATGCAGTAGTTCAAATATTTCCATTTTTGAAATTTTTATTTTCGAAAAATGGTTAGATTTTCTCTTTTGGTACAGTATAAAAGTATAATAGAATTAATCAGGTCACAGACATCCGTAAATGTTCTACCCTGTTGTCCAAGTTCCACCCTTGTGATTACGAGTATGTTGTAACATCACTAGGTAGATTACGTGTATCACATTAATGTGCGAAATTCCCTTGCTTAGACAACTGGACCCGCTATCCTGATTGAACTCTGGACATCAAAGTTGTCGGCTGGTCTGAGAATGTCCGCTACGTCTCAACTCTAACCCGTGGTAATTAGCCACCTGCCTGTCCGCAAGCTCAGATGGTTATGTCTTCTGTCCGTCCGACTGGAAGATTGCATAATTCTTCAACGTAGATGCGTTCCCTGGTCCAGCTGTTAAGCTAACGTTAAATTCCACTGAGATAAATTCTACTGAGATAAACTGTTGGTTGGTCAGACACTTTGATCGCTGCTAGGAAGATCGCTTGGGTTTGCTGTTCAGTTACCTCATTGTTTCACTTTGTAAAGGTTTCTGTTGGACTTGTGTACTTTTGTTGTTGTTGCTTTTAGAAGGAATTCTGGACTCACCGAATGCACCTCGTCACAGTCTCTTTGCGAATTTGTGCACTTGCGTAGATAATTAATTGCTTATCGGCAAAAGTTGCGAATAAAGTGGAATTATTTCTTTGATAATTTGTGCAGCTACTTTTAATTATGGCAGGCAGACCATCGGCTCCGACACAGATGAGCAATAATATTCTACAAGTTGATCAACTGGCAGCTGTAGATGTCAGACCTGATGATTTATATAGAATAATGAACGATAAACTACAGTGGTTGCAATGGCTTGCTATGCACAGAATAATGTGAAACTCAGTAGACTGTTCGTCTTGCAACCGCCGGATGTCATTAGTGTCAAGGCTAGAATGTTCCGTTGGAAGTTGTTGATAGGCGAGATGCGACAACATTGGAACGCATCATAAGTGAGCATGTGTTACCAGGAACGACAATTGTCACCGATGCCTGGCGAGGCTACAACAACGTTGGTCAACTCAACAATGGCATATATGAACATCTCGTTGTTGTTCATGCTATTAATTTTGTTGACCGTGTACACGGAGACATCCACACCCAAACAATTGAAGGGCTGTGGATGCAAGTCAAAAGGAAACAGCGTTTCCAAGGCGGCACTAGTCGTGCATTGTTTAATACATATTTAGCCGAATTTCAGTGGCGTCACAGTAACAAAGAACATGTTTTCGGACAGTATTTACAACTGTTGTGCCACAATTTCGACATATAACTGTCAAATATTATTGGCAGAGTTGCCACTTTTCTTTGGCGGAAAGTGTATTGTATTTTTTTTTCTTTCTGCATTTCCTTTTTTTCGTCTGTCATTTCATTTTCTCAGTGACCACACTAGCAGGTGGTACATACTTCATTGATACTGAACATCCTCTTGTGTTTAGATAATTTGTAGCCAACTATGTCTTCTCTGCTATGTCGTTTCTACTACACATCTTGGTATTTTTAGATCCATAAAAGTAGATATGATATTGTTGGAGGTATAATGCAGCGCTCTCTTCAATAAACATCAAATGCATTAGATATTTAGAGAAACAGGCCGACAGTTTTTTTCCTTCTGAAATCCTGATTTGGCTTCTTCTTGTAATTTAATAATCTGATTTAATATGCTTTGTGTATTATATATATATTGTGTTGCTCGGTGCAGATTTCCCACTGCACTTCACCACACCTTAGTCGGCAGCAAATTTTGATTAAACAACAGAGCTTTGGAAGTGTTGTAGAGGGACAGCCCTAGTCTCACGTCATCTTTGCGTAGACTTACTGTTATTTTTCCCTTGCTACCATCGATGACTGCTCCTTGCCACTGTCTCTGTCTACAATATTTCCTCTGCTTCTTGTTGGTAAAACTGGCCGAAAAACATGGACTTATCTGCCAGCATTCAAAGCCTGGAATTAGTTCAAACGTTGTTCAATCCTGTACACAATCGGATATGGGGTGTCGTTATTGCAGCAGCAGCGTGCGATGATGCGAGCCAGATAGAAGATAAAAGAAAGTCATCGCAGTGTGTATCTTATTTATCTTTCTTATAAAAATACCACTGTGTGGAGGGAGAAAAGGAGGGGGGGAGGGACACACATGTTTCAGCGTCTCAGTTATTATTTCAGGGCACTTAACTGCAGCAGTGAAAACTGATGATGATGATCTTAACGTTGCTACACTGATGATGATGATCTTAACGTTGCTACCCATCGACACAGCGCTCCGATGGATCGAAAATTATTCCTCCCCACGTCACTTCAGTCGATCGAAAACAATATCTCCCCACGGCGCTTAAACTGTAAACATTGCGCAGAAGTGAAAACTGATAATGATGGCTTCAATTATTATTTCACGGCGCTTAACGACAGAAGTGAAGACTGATGATGATGATCTTAACGTTGCTACCCATCGACACAACGCTTCGATGGATCGAAAATTATTCCTCCCCACGTCACTTCAGTCGATCGAAAACAATATCTCCCCACGCCGCTTAACTTTAAACATTGCGCAGAAGTGAAAACTGATGATGATGGCTTCAATTATTATTTCACGGCGCTTAACGACAGAAGTGAAGACTGATGATGATGATCTTAACGTTGCTACCCATCGACACAACGCTCCGATGGATCGAAAATTATTCCTCCCCACGTCACTTCAGTCGATCGAAAACTATTTCTCCCCACGGCGCTTAACTTTAAACATTGCGCAGAAGTGAAAACTGATGATGATGGCTTCAAGACACAGCGCTCTGATGGATCGAAAATTATTCCTCCCCACGTCACTTCAGTCGATCGAAAACTATTTCTCCCCACGGCGCTAAACTTTAAACATTGCGCAAAGTGAAAACCGATGATGATGGCTTCAAGACACAGCGCTCCGATGGATCGAAAATTATTCAGGCTTCAATTATGATGATGATGGCCTCAATTATTTCACGGCATTGGTACTTATTGTACCATATTTTGTTGTTCCATATTTTGTATAACCTCTTTATAACCCCTTGACCTCTTTGTAACCCCTTGAACCCCGTGAGGCTCTGAAAGGAATGTTTTGGACAGTCAATAATAAGGGGCCATTATTCGGAAGAGTGCCGAAAAACCATCTGAGAAATAAATTCAGTCTCACCTTGTATCAGCAGTCTTATCCTGTCGCCATTCTCTACTGTTAGTTAGTTAGTTAGTTCTTCGTCGCGTTCACCAGCTGCAAACTCCGGTGGAAAGTTCTGGTTGTTCATCCACTTCTGGACTCTAGTCCTGTTTCAGAACCTGAGTGTTGCATGTACATCTGTTTCACAAGTCTGACTCATTTGCATGCAGACTGTTGGTTCCCTGCTCGTCAAGCATATGTACTCCAACTGTGAAGGAAGTTCCCAATTAGTTGACTCTTATTACAGCATGCTTTTGGGCAGGCAGTGGGTCTATTCTTGTTTTCCCTCACAATGGGGCCCTGGAACCCACGTGGGGAGTTAGTTAATCGACAGATTATTCTCATTGCACATTGGCATCAGTGCTCGGATCACATTTTCAGAATATTCCTCAGCTTATGGCGACTGATAACACCAGTTCTGTGTTGGTTTCTCTACTGAGTCCAGATCTACTAACATAAATTATAATTTAAAAAAAAAAAACATACTAGCCTGATTAATCACAGTACAGTTAGGCCATGGTGTTAAATGTTAGTGTGTTAGTCCCACCAGGTACAATCTTCTTGGCAAATGGGGTCTCCCATAGTTGCTCCACTCCTGTGCTGTAAAAGACCATACAGAATGTCCATCGCTGTCCTTTGTGAAAACAAATTAAACAGATAAAGCCAGCAGCATACACATGTATTAAAGGCATAAGGTAGATGTCAGAAGTGCCAACACAAGCAGTCCACCACTACAATTGCGTTGCATCAATGGAAGCAGCAGGTATAACAAATCACTAGTTGCACACACAGTATTGCATAAGATAAAGCATCATCACCTTGATGTGTCAACTGGCCTTTCCCCATTCCTGAATCTACTGCTGAAACACAAACCACCTTAGATACAGTTAAAAGCATTCCAGTTAAAATCCACAACTCAGTGTTGTACCATACACTCACTTTAGTAGCTTGACAATGACACTATATACTTTCAGTCCACATATGAGGGAAACTGTACTAGCAAACAGTGGCCAGAAACAAATAACTTGCAAGAATAAAATGGTTGGCCTGCCTATCTGCTATTTTGGACAAGAAGTCCACAGGGTTAAAAAAAAAATGTCAGTTAACCAGCGTTTACATTGGAAATCTGTTGCAACCAGCCTTCGTTGTGATGACATGATCAGACTGATTGATTTATTTCTGTACATATACTTGCAGGGCTTTCTTGGATGGTTTATGGTCAAAAGTGGCCTAGAAGATAAGCCGGAATCCTCAGATGTGCCTAGGGTCAGTCAGTACAGGTTGGCAACCCACTTGGGTGCAGCATTGCTTCTCTATACATTATTTTTATGGCAAGGCTTCAACCACTTATTGACCCCTATTAAGGTAATGCACATTGAAGAAGTCACAAGTGTTCTTGTATACATTTTAATTAGTTACACATCATTACTGTTTCCATAAATGTCTTACTCTTTCTTTCTTATCTGACATTTTTTCCACGTAATACTCATGTCTCAGTGATGTATCTTCTGTTGGTATACCCCATAAACTTTTCCCCCTTAATGCCTTTGATAAGTAATCTATTAATAACAGGACCCTTGCCAGTGCTATGGAGTTCGTGCACTGAGCTGAGATTCTTCAGACTCAGGCTTGGGTTAAAAGCAAAACAGAGCACTTATGGGTTACTACCCTTGTGCAGTTATGTTGATCCATTGTTTAAACCTAAACCTTTAATAGCCACAGATCGCAGTAAATAAGTATTTTGTTTTATTCTAACATTTCCATTTATACAAAAACAAATCACACACAGCTTCCTTCAGTACATGTCATTTTATTTTTTTTCTTCTTTTGACATGCGGAACAAGATATATAAAAAAATATTTTTGTTGATTGTGACATAATTAGTGACAGTTCCTCTTCCCTTTTTTCCGTTGCTGAGCATTTTGTGAGTTATTAATGTTTGGTACTTACATGGTACCATTGGAATTGGAAATCTGTGCTGGCTGTTGAAGATGGGGGATGGTGTGCTTTTGGAATGTCCTCAGTGCTGTGATGCTGCCAGTCCTTAACTCAGCTCAATTCAGCTTAGCTTGCTGAACACTGAGTTTGTGATTGTAGTCTTCTATGATTTTTCTCTTACTCACAAATGCGATGAAGGGAGGAGAGGTCATATTTTTTCAGGTGTCTTTCTCATGTTGTGATTCAGTATCATGGAACTTTAAAAGACTTGCGCAGACTCCTTAAAGTCATCACACTACAGTGCTGCTGTTGTGTGCCATTCTGACACCCTGTCACACATCTGGGGTGCAGATAACATGCTTTTCGTGTGTTGAGATCTCTTTCTTTGTTACGACACTGTTTGAACTGGGCTAAGCTTTTTCCTTCTTCAGTGATCAACATTAACTGTGCATCTGTTTACATTATGGGTCATATTCTGGGACATTCTGCTTGAGGTTTTCTCTGGTGCCCCATAGTTTGTCTTATAGGCTTACTCATATGGGGCCAGATTTCTTTTCTTTTGACTTACAAAATCTGGGCAGTCCTTCAAGACGTGCACAGGAGTTTGCTTTGGTGAACCACAACCACATTGAGCAGTTAGCAAGACCAACTCAGTGTAGATATACCCTGAGTTTACAGTGTCCCATCCTTAGTTTGAAGATTTTGGTCTGGGCATTTTAGCCAATTGGTGACCTCAGAAGTCAAAGTTTGTAGTTAGTTACACAATATCTTTCTACAGTCTATCACATAGCATTCATTATGATGCATAGATGTTCAGTTTCTGGACCTGTTCCACTTAGATTTCTGTTCTGGATTCCTCCTCCCATAGGTGGAATGCATGCCACATTTTCTATCAGATTTCTATATCTAGTCTTTGCTCCTACAAGAACATCCACAAGACATTAATGGCATTTGGCGTAGCCCTCACTTAAATTAAGTATCTTCCAAGGTTTATAAGCTTCATTAACCCATGAATAGCTTCACCCATTTAGTGTAACCGGTCAGCCAAGACTGTTGGCCAGAGTGTGGCACGTGGAGCCATAAGTGAGTTAGGTGAAGAGATGAGACTCATGGAATTTGAACCAACCCGGAGAATGTGGCTGTCCCATTCTTGAAGAACTGTTCCTCTTTACCTGACACCCTGGGCCAGATAGAAAGATCAGGAAGTTTAGATGTCAGTTGATCTGAGAAAATCTCATTATGCTTTATTTGTGTGTGTGGGTAAAACTATTCTACTACTGTACTCCCGTAGGATACAGCATAATTATGACTTAACTGTTTCAGATGCCTGATGCTCCAGTACTAAAGAAACTACGTGGAATGTCACACGGGGTCAAGGCATTTGTATTTTTAACAGCCTTATCAGGTATTTAAAAAAAATATAAAGCTTTTTTTGTCTTTGTACGGGATGTGTATGTATTTGTTTCTTGTAATACAAATTACATGTGACTGATATTAATTGATGAGTTGTTGTTACAAGCTGTTTACCTTGTTGAACAATTTTCTGGTGTGCTTTTGAAACAAATTATAGTGTTTTAACTTTTTAATTTACGAAAAGGTGTCATTTACAGAAATGGAGGAAATGTTTTCTGGAGACAGCCAGGGAATAATCAACACATCAGTGCACACAGAATACTAAAGACACCCTGGGCTTGAAAATGCAAATTGTGACATGTTGATAGAACTGATCAATGTTTAGACAGCTTGAAATATGTGCATTATGGCAGCAGAGTTGAATTATAAACATAATTTTATCAAGAATGACGTGTTGATAGAACCCGAAAAAATGTTTAGACGACATAAAATTTGTTAATTGAGACAGTTTAAGTATGGTCGTAATAATGTTGTATGGTCGTAATAATGTTGCTGATATGGAAGAATTTCCGTGGAGTGCACCGATGAAAAAAGCAGAAAAAAGTGGAGAAAATCAGTGACCAAGATCGAATGATTATTGAGAACATTTCTAGTGCAGTTAAACTGAATAAAAATACAATTGCTAGAATTTTACACAACAGACTGAACATGAGCAAAATTTGCCGGCTATGTTCCATGCTTGCTAATACGTAAAAGAAGGAAATGAGGATAATATGCTGTCTTTGATTACTTAAAAAAGTGTCTGTCATGAAATGTTTTGATGATTGGTGACAGTAGATGAGACTTGGGTTTACCATTATGCCCCCCCCCCCCCCCCCAATCCTAAATTGTCAGTGTGCAGTTGAAAACTCCAGGTTAACTAACACCTGTCAAACAAAGAGCATTGAAATCTGCAGGGAAAAGTGATGCTGATAGATTTTTTGGACACTAAATGTGTTCTTTTGAAAGAATAACTGCCTCTAGATGAGACTGTTAATGGACAGATTATTCAGGTCTTGTTAGAAAAATTTTTAAAGTTGTGACAAGAAAACATGGGAATTGCCTGCACTCAGTATCTCCCTTTGCATCCACACAATGCTCCTGCACATATAGTGCAGCTAACAGCCAGAAAAGATATAAAACTGAACAAAAAGTATTTCAGCAAGCTTCACAATATAACGAACACAAACAAAACGTAAATGTTGCGGCTATGGAACCTTCCACAGCTCATACATAAATAAAACAATACCGCACAAATACACAAAGTCACTTAGCTTAGAATCTTGAAGCGGCCAGGTCAATGTTTTGTCTGTAGACTGGCGAGGCACGTTGGACCGGAGAACAAATACCCTCTAGGAATTCCCGGGGTTGTTACTGGAGGGTTTTAGATAAAACTGTGTGGGCTAACAGCTGGCAATTTAAATATTGAAATTCTACCTCGCCACCATGTTCACCAGATTTGACACCCTCAGTTCTTTTTTTCTCTTTTCCCAAACCTTAAAAACAGATAGAAGAAATTCAGTTTGCCAGTGACGAAAAAGTCACATTTGCATGTGGTAGCTGGGTTAGCTGAAAAAAAAAAAGTGTGTTCTATTTCAAAGATTTTGAAGGTCAAGCAGAGATGATGGAAATCTTTAAATTTGGGAGGTGGCAATATTGAAAAGGAATAAACATGAAATTTTAACTTTCTATGTAATTTTTTTCATGGTTATGTTAAGGACTTACAGATCACCCCTCGTATATGATATGTCAATATGTATTACAGCCATTAAAAATACTGTTATAGTTGTATAATGTATACATTATAATCACAAATTCTAGGAGCCTTTGTGGCAGGGCTTGATGCTGGCTTGACTTATAATTCCTATCCTAAAATGGCTGATAAATGGATTCCGGATGATATGTGGACTATTTCACCAAAGTGGAAAAACATTTTTGAAAACCCAACATTTGTTCAGTTTAATCATCGGCATCTTGTAAGTACAAACTTATGTGCAGCATTATAAAAGTTGTTCCCTCGTGGGATGCAAGTTTTTGTTATTTTGAAGCCCAATCTGGCTTTTGCCGGGGGTCCTGGATACAGCCGGGCCATAAATTTGGCCTAACGGCTGAAAGTGGTTTCTGATACCTCGCGTTAGCACAGTCGATAAGAGGCTCACTTTCAAATCCAGCTGCAACTCGCGGCAGCCCACGGTCAGTGTTCTAAACCAGGCAAATCTCGGGGTTCGCCCATCCTCTAGGAAATGGGTACCAGAGTTGACACTTTGGGGTAAATGGAGGAACGTCGCTCTAGCTACTGAGTAATGTGTGGATGGTGTCACAGGCGGACAATTCTTATCAGTTGTCTGTACTGGTGGCAGAGCACTTATAGTTTATAACCGTGTGCAATGACGCTAGTTCACATCTCCCAACTTTACCTTTACCTTTTTACCTCTCCACAGGTGATCCTCATCCACATGGTGGCACTTTGTGTCACCAGGTGTTTATCACTTGTGTAATGTCCTGGTAGGGAACAACTTACATGCATACTTATGTACAGGTTGACTTTAAAAAATCTAGCCATCAATAATCCAGTTCCCTCAGATTTCCGGCATGAATTTTTAAGCGCATTTTGAGGTGTACTGTTTTGGGGCACTACTGTTTTAGGGAAGTGCAGTTTATGTTTTAATAGCACTGGACTTCAGAATCAGTTGCTGGGACTTGCATGTATGTGTTACCAGCCATCCTTGCTTATTCCTTCTCATTTGATAATTTATTTGCTTATATACAGCCCCATAATGGATCCAGCAAAGAAAAGAGGGGGTGTAAAGCATAAACATTGTGAGTTGTCGATTCCAGAAAAAGTGCAAATGCTGCAATTCCTGCATTTGTGCAAATACAACACTCATCAGGTCCGGAGGTTGCCAGATTTTTTAATGTCACCCTGTACATGCTCCTTTATGTTTGTTTACTAGCAGGCAAATTTTACACTCACAGCTCTTTAGCCCCATTTGGGAGGTGGAGGAGGGGAAGAATAGACACAATGCCCTGTAACAAGCATGTCTTAAAAGGAAACTAATTAAGAGGATTACTAAAATCGGATATATTTGGTAATAAAATATCACAGCCTAGCTATAAACCACAACACAGTGTGCCAACCACCCTTTTAAGGAAGAAGAAGAAGAAGATTTAATTTGAAATCTTAACTCACCTTTATAACTAATTTATTTACCCCTTGAAAAGTACACAGATTTAAAAAAAAAAAATCAGTGCAGCATTAATTCCATGTTTTGTTGAAATCAATGGTACATCAAATGTTACTCAAAAACTATTTAAAACAAACAAAAAAACATCAACATATAATAAACAAATGTTCCATGATTGATGATTGTACTTCCTAGTTTTTTGTGTGTGTAAAAGATTTTTCATAGAGTAGTTTGTACAGTTACATAAATCTTCTGACATTAAAAGGTTTTAAAAAAATCATAAAATTATTAAAGAAAAATACAAGCACATTTTAGATTAAATTAAGAACAACTAAAAATCCTAGAAAGGGCAGATGTTTTTGAAGTCAGCTTATAAGAAGATACACCATGTTGCTTGACAGCTGCTGTTTCCCTTCCTAGGCTGAATCAACCGTGGTGCTGATTGCTGGCTTCTGGTGGATGGCCAGGAAGGCCCCTCTACACCCTAGGGCAAGGCTTGCTGTTAATTTACTTTTAGGAATGGCTTTTGGTCAGGTCAGTTTACATGTCTTTAACCATCAAAATAATTTATTTTCCGTAGTTGCAGACATTTAGTGAGTTGTGCCCCTGTATTTACTGTCAGCGTCTGTAGCTAAGGCGTTGTGAACGTGCTTCATGGCCGGGGTGCCATGTTTGATCCCAGCTGCCGACAGTTTGTCTAGTGTTGGTTTCGACATTGGCACCGAGAGCTGACCGCTCAGTTAAGCTATGACAAACTACTGTACGTGAAATTTGTCTAGAAGAAACCACAACAGCCAAAAAATGCTGGGGTTTGTTCTCCGGTGTCCTATAAAGGACACACGACTAACTTTTTATTTACTGTACTTTGATAAAAATGGTGACACAGCACATAGAAGTAGGAGGCGGAAGGGGGATTTAGGGATATATTTTCATTTAGAAATTAAATCATCTTCCATGATAGCATCAGGAATCCTTTCTATTGTTTTATATCTTAGTCATTCACCAGTTGTAGAGGGTTTCGGCATAACTAATTTTTGTCGACTGCCAGCGTTCCAAAGTGCTTTGGCGCAGGTGACCGTTTTTAATTATTTGGAAATGTTTTATGCTGTTATTATGGAATAAGTTGATGACACACCTGTTAACTTCATCACTATCAGCATGCCAACTCTTAAACATTTCTGGTGTTTTGACCTCATGGTCAATAGATCTTGGATTTCATTAGTGCATTACTAATCCTTACAGCTTCCCCCCAAAAAAGAAATGTCTTCTATAGTTTTTTTCCTTCTGCTGCTGGTGAAGATGCTAAAACTGTTGTATTGACAGCTCAGTCATGTGATCTGCACATGCCAGGCTTTCGGTTTTCAAAACGGCGTTTGAGTCCGGAGGCAAAATTTTATTGAAAATTTCATTTGGATTTCAAGTTGTTTTAGTTTAAAGGCGTAGGGATTCCGAGATAACACCGTGTAAGTAAGTAAAGTAAAGGATCTTTTCATGCCAGTCATGAATCAGGCCATATGATGCCAGATCTATAGTTTTTTTTTTTACTAGACCAGTCAGCACTTGGCGGGGCAGGGGGAGTTTTTTGCTGGTGTCCTTTACTTCTCAAGACATTTCCTAATACCCATTTTAGGTTTGGTTGACTGGGGAGCCAAGGTTAGCTATGTAAAATGTTTTTACAAATTATTTAATTCAGTGCAGATTGAAACCCAAGACATTTAGAATGGCAGGCAAGCATCAAACCACTGAACTGCTGCAGTTTCCATAGAGATACAATGCTGAATCAATCATAACTTTTACCAAGTCATATTCAGTATTGTACTAGCTGTTTTCTTTTCCAGAAAATGTTCTGGTCAACATTGTGATCATTACTGTTTCCATGCTTGTGATTAGACTGCCACAGCTGATGTACCCTGGGAAGTAAAGGCGGTCAACCTGATGTTGACCACATCATTCATTGAGGCTCTTTATATATTGGTCTAGCATTAATGCATGATGCACCAAAGTGTGAAAAGATTTCGTTATTTGCTTCCTTACACCTGTTATAATTGTGCCAGATATGTATCATTCACCATAAATATTGGCAGACAAGAATTCACATGTGGTGGTTTCTACAAATTAAATATGTTAAAACCTCATTAATCAGATTTTCAAGAGACAGAAATCAAGAGTTCATCAGGAAAAATTTGAACCGAGGACTGAGACTCTGTAACAATTTATGCTTATTCCTGCCAGGTCACAAATTTTGTTCCTGTTAACTGAGTGTTAAAGAGCGGCTGGTTGAACAGTTAGAATGCTGAGTTATCAAGCAGGAGACCCGTGTTTGAATCCTCAGTAAGGCTATGGATTTTTTCTGTCGGGGGCAAAATAAAATCCCCACCTGCACAGTCGTAGTGACAGCACTAGCCATATGGCCGTAAATTCTCAGACTCGAAGGGCCCACCCCCACCTACACCGCAAAAGTGGTATAATACAGGCAGTAATTGGCAGTTTTAACTGAGTGTTTGTCTTGAATGAATTTGTGTTAGCGAATTCATGTTAACAAGGTTTACTGTATAAAGGAAGATTTTTAGATAAAACATTATAACCTAAAGCCATTCTGTTTAATTATTGCATTAGTCTCTTCTATTATTAACCCCCCTCCCCGCTCCCCCAAACCTATGAATTACATTTAAATAACAGCCAATTTGGAAAGTGATTTAAATAACAGGCTCTTTTATATTCCTTTTAGGCTGCTCTGGGTGTTACCACGCTTCTAATGTATGTCCCAACTTCAATCGCAGCCACACACCAATCAGGATCTTTGGTTCTTCTGAGTCTGGCTGTTTGGATGACACATGAGTTGCGCAGGCTGCCAAAATAAATGTATAGCTAGTAAATTTGTGGCTATATTTCTTAAAACATCAACATTGCATTTATCAGTCTGAATATCTGTTTCATGTTGTTTAACTATGTTGCAGGCCTACAAACAAATATATGTATATATACATATACAATGTTTAAAGTCATGACATTCTGTGTGCAAAAATTCATTTTTTTTTTAAAGTACTGACTGCAATAGTGGCTGGCCATGTGGTTAGAGTGCTAGACTCTCATTCAGGTTACCCGAGCTTGAATCATCAAGAAGATAGAGGCAATTTTTCTGCTAGTGATAAAAATGAAAACTCCTAACCTGCCCAGTTTATGGTGAAGGTGATAGCGATATGGCCCTACTCCTCCGTTAAAAAAAAACACACCTTGCCCTCCTCCTCTTTCCTACAGTATCATTTAAAAAAAATTGTAAATACAGTTATTGATTGAAATCAACATTCTAAGTCCAAGACATAACCTTCTGGGCTCATTTCTTTACTGTATATTTGTAGAAAGAGTTAAGACAGGCATGTATACTATCACTGATTTTTTTTGTGTTCAACCTAGTCATTGAATGACTGATAAAAGAAATTACAGGAGATACTTCTTATCGTTATTTTAGAGTATTTAGATTGGAAGACTTCTGACAATGGCCTTTACAATAGGACTCAAGATAAACACAAATAAACTAAAGTAATGAGAAATACAGAGGCGCGGCTGGGCGAACGGTAAGAATGCAGAGATCCAGGTTTGAATCCTCGGTACGGCTGGGGATTTTTTCTGTTGGGGGCAAAATAAAATCCCCACCTGCCCAGTAGTGGCGACAGCACTAGCCATGCAGCCGAAAATCCTCAGGCTCAAAGACCCCCCTGCCTACACTGCAAAAGTGGTATAATAAACTGTGTGCAATTACAAGAAGGACTAATATCTCAAAAACAAGCCATGTAATTGCACACAATTTATTATTAAACAATACAGTTTTGAAAAATACCTTGTGAAAACAATACGAGTTGTTGACGCCATTGTTGTCCACCACTAAATCACTAGGTCATTTTGTGCCATAGTGCTTGGCCCAGCCATAACTGGCTTTAAATTCACTTTGAGAAATTCCGGTAATGTCTGATAATTGACGTGCTTTAAACTATGACATTTCCACCGACGTAGAAAACCCACCTGCAAGTATTTTTTTGACATGTTTCAGCAGATTGGTTTCTTCTTCCAGGTATTTCACCTTCTTGGTTTCTTCTTCCAGGTATTTCCCCTTCTTGGTTTCTTCTTCCAGGTATTTCCCCTTCTTGGTTTCTTCTTCCAGGTATTTCCCCTTCTTGGTTTCTTCTTCCAGGTATTTCCCCTTCTTGGTTTCTTCTTCCAGGTATTTCACCTTCTTGGTTTCTTCTTCCAGGTATTTCCCCTTCTTGGTTTCTTCTTCCAGGTATTTCCCCTTCTTGGTTTCTTCTTCCAGGTATTTCCCCTTCTTGGTTTCTTCTTCCAAGTATTTCACCTTCTTGGTTTCTTCTTCCAGGTATTTCCCCTTCTTGGTTTCTTCTTCCAGGTATTTCCCCTTTTTGGTTTCTTCTTCCAGGTATCTTTGTGTAAGGAGTCGGCAGTCCGAAACCCAAGTTCAAGGTGTTTCCTTCGTGCCAAAGAACTGCATGGCTGTTGGGTGAACAGTCGTTAACGAAGGCAGTCAGGTCGTTGTTGGGGCGACGCTTGCTGGTGGATGTAATGTCCTAAATCCCTTCCCCAGCTAATAGTAGGGTACTGCTGGGGTGACAGTTTATTAGCCCTCACATAATGCTTCAGGACCAAATGAACACTAGGCACTGCCACTGTTTTGAGCCGTGGCAAAATTGTTTGCTTCTGCCAGACTGTGGCCGTTGCTTTTTTGCTCCATTTGTAGACTGGAAGTATATAGTTTTGTTACCCAGCTTCTGAGTTGAGTGCATGGCGTGACACTGTGAGCTGCGGATTTCATTTGGAATGTTTTTCGACTGACCAACGTGGTGGTGTGATTTGTAGATTCAGAAAATTGCGCAGTGCCGGTGTCGCATTATTGGTGGGGAATTTATTTGATTAAAATTGATCGCGTGTGCAACTGCTGATCTTTTGGTGACTTCTGCTACCATCAATGATGAACTGCATTTCTAATGTTGGACTGTTTGTGTTAGCACTTCAGATGGCTACCATATGCTTCTAATGCGAGTGTATGCTAGATTTGCTGAGACAGCAGTTTGTCAGTCTTTTCACAAGGGACTGTGATAAACATTCTGTGTGTTTTTCGTTGGCACAGGAGCGGAGCAAAGATGGGGTGACCCGTTTGCTATAAAGCTGAAATTAAAATTACCAGATTACCAAATTCTTCCAGGTATTTCACCTTCTTGGTTTCTTCTTCCAGGTATTTCCCCTTCTTGGTTTCTTCTTCCAGGAATTTCACCTTCTTCCATGAAAACATTGTTGACTATGAAATGTTTTTTTTTTCAAGAGCAACTTTCATTCCAATCAATCTTTACTTATTTTTTCTCATTCACTTTAAACTTCCTTCCAACTGCTCAGTTTCCATTTTCTTGCGCATATCGCACTACTTGTAACTTAAATGTAAAACTGCAACTTGTTTTTACTCTGCCCATTTTTCACTGTTTACATTTACTAATATTTTGGTTTCAGTCTGTTGACCATTTATTTTTTACTAAAATTATTATCTCAGAAACACGATGAGGCCTATGCATGTGTAAGTATGGAATCAAAAAACAGAGAATCTATTATTTTTATGGAATGAAGAAATTAAAGTAAATCCAGAAGTAAAGTTACATCGGATGGGGTTTCCGAAAAGGATATAACATCAAGATTAAGTAAAGTAAAGGACCCTTTCCACATCATTAGGTGTATAGGGCTAGCTAGACCTATATTTTATAGACCAATCAGCACAAGATGGGTTATGTGGTCAGCACCACGCCGGCCGCCTTTACTACCCAGGGCTGCACCCGGTACCCACTCAAGGCTGGGTCGACCTTGGAGCCACGGTCATTTTTGAATAATGTCTGGCTCCGCCAGGGAGCTCCGCCACTGCAACTCCCTACATTAAAATTAAACAGAGCAAATAAAGCATTTGTCATCCTTAACAGTATATGAAAATCGAAGTTTGAGTACAAAAATCAGAATATATAGCAGCATAACTTTAGAAATACTACAGTACAGCAGTGACTGTTGGAAAATGACAGCAGGAATTACACAGTCTTGTAAAAATAAATGTCTAAGTAAAATCCTGCTAATATACAAGATCACAGATGAGGAACTTAGGAGGAAAAACAATGTTTGTCGTTGGTAAATATTATCAAAAGAAGAAGATAGGGATAGCTCCAAAATGTTTGCAGAATTCCCTATGACACTTTGGCAACAACAGCTCTCTGGTGGATGACAGATTTAAAAGAAAAAGGAAGATGTGGATGAACTAAGGAAACCTGGAGAAGGACAGTAGAAGGGAAAATAAAGAAATATAAAGTTGTCTGCGATACCATTGGCATAAAAGCAGCAGTGGAGATCACTTTGGAATGCCCTGCCCTGTGTGTCAGTAATGACATGACAATATAGAAACCAGGAGCAACAACAGTTATTGATTGAAATTAACAGTTCTTCTTCTTCTTTGCGTTCACCAGCTGTAAACTCTGGTGGAAAGTTCTGGTTGTTCGTCTACTTCTGGACAGCAGTCCTGTTCCAGAACCTGAGTGTTGCGTGTGCATCCGTTTGATAGATCTGACTAATTTGTGTGCAGACTGTTGGTTCCTTGACTCTCAGACAGATGCACTCCAACTTCGAAGGAAGCTCCCAATTAGTCGACTCTTACGACATACTTTTGTGTAGGCAGTGGGTCAATTCTTGTTTTCCCTATAAGAGGGCCCGAGAACCCACACAAGGAAAATTAACAGTTGAAGTCTGAGACTTATTCTGAGGTTATTTCATTATTATATATTTATAGAAAGAAAAGGATATAAACATATTCACTTCCTAGAGAATATTTCTTTATTATTTTGTAATTTTTTTTTTTTAATGGTAGAAAGCTGTGCAAAATGAGGCACTTAGTGCTGTCTTATTCAGGATGTAATGGATGCCAGCAAAAATTGTATTATGATTAATGTTGCTTGATTCTTGATATATAACTTATTGTATTTGTTCCATTTACAATTATTTTCTTGTAAAGAAGAAATCTTACCTAAAAGTGATGTGTTAAGTTTTGTTTGTTCATGGTAATGTTTCTTTAATATTTTGAAGTTTAAACAGATTGAATGTTATTTTGCACAGTCAGCCCACATTTGTGGTTACGGTATATCACATTTTATAGTCAGCCTTTATTTTCATGAAATAATTGAATGATGTCAAATAAAGATGTCTACACTAATCAGCAAATGCTTTTTTTTCTTTATGTTCGATTTATTTGTATTCTATCCATATCTTGAAAGTAGCATTAAAAGCCTATGGTTCAGCACCAGCAAGGAAATCAAAATTGTGAGTGCATGCTTCTTCCCTGTAGCAACATAGTTGTGGACTACCTCCCAGTCATCAAGAAAGAAAATTTGAGCTAAAAAGCTACAGAAATATTCTTAAAATATCATGGACTAAGAAGAGAAGAAATAATGAAATTTTAAAAAATGTGAACATCCAGGAAGATTGGCTAATAAACAGCATCTTGTCTCTGAAGCTGAAATATTGTGGTCATATAAAGCGCTATGGTGAACTGGAAAAATTAAAAGCAGAAGGCGTGTTACAAGGAAGAAGGGGCAGGGACTGACCAACACAAAGATGGGCACAGCAAATAAGTGACTTCTTGAATATGAAAGTACATGAGATAAGAGAGCTGGAGAGAGACAAAGTTTCTTTCATGCAGACCGTGATGAGAGAAACATTCTGCAAAGGACCTGCTACATGATGATACCTTGAAAACTAATTCATTGGGGGGTGAGCAGAGGTTATGAAAGATATTGAGCACTGAATGGGAAACAGGCAGATGTTTAATCAGGT